TACAATGCCTTAGTAAGGCCACACTTGGAATACTGCATCCAGTTTTGGTCACCACGATGTAAAAAAGATGTTGAGACTCTAGAAAGAGTACAGAGAAGAGCAACAAAGATGATTAGGGGACTGGAGGCTAAAACATATAAGGAACGGTTGCTGGAATTGGGTATGTCTAGTTTAACGAAGAGAAGGACGAGGGGGGACACGATAGCAGTCTTCCAGTATCTCAGGGGCTGCCACAAAGAAGAGGGAGTCAAGCTATTCTCCAAGGCGCCTGAAGGCAGGACGAGAGGCAATGGGTGGAAACTGATCAAGGAGAGAAGCAACCTAGAACTAAGGAGAAACTTCCTGACAGTTAGAACAATTAACCAATGGAACAACCTGCCTCCAGAAGTGGTGAATGCTCCAACACTGGAGGTTTTTAAGAAGAGACTGGACAGCCGTTTGTCTGAAATGGTGTAGGGTTCCTGCCTGGGCAGGGGGTTGGACTTGATGACCTCCAAGGTCCCTTCCAACTTTATTATTATTATTATTATTATTATTATTATTATTATTATTATTATTATTATTATTATTATTATTATTATTATTATTATTATTATTATTATTATTATTACTATTATTATATGGCTTTACAGGCCTTTCTAAGTAGTTTACAGAGTCACCCTATTGCCCCCAACAATCGTCCTCATTTTCCCCGACCTTGGAAGGATGGAAATCTGAGTCAACCTTGAGCAGGTGAGACTTGAACGGCCAAACTGCCGGCAGTCAGCAGAATTAGTCTGCAATATTGCGTTCTAACCACTGCTCTACCATGGCTCTTCAAATTGAAAATATCAATGGGAAACATTTATTTTTTAAAAAACAAAAAGATTGTTACAGTTGTTTGCATTCCATAAATAACAATACTGATCTGGTCAAAATAGCAACTGAAAATGTTGGGACTATAGTACCAGGGGTAGGCAACTTTGGCTCTTTTATGACTCGTGGACTTCAACTCCATGCTGGCTCAGGAATTCTGGGAGTTGAAGTCCATGAGTCATAAAAGAGCCAAGGTTGCCTACCCCTGGACTATACCCTCACAGCCCAATCATACTTATTGAGGTTATGGGACTTGTACTCCTCAAAACACATGAACACAAGCTGGAAAGGATGGAATAAGTGTACCATGTGCTTACCCTTGCAAGGTTGCCACACTATGAATTTCATAAACACAACAGAATTCTAAAGAATCACTTTATGACAATTCACTCTGTTTTTCAGCAAACGGCTTAACTTAAGGCTTTACACCTTTCCCTTCCTGTTTTCAGTAATAAACCCATACAGATAAAGAATAGCAACCTCTACCAAAATATTCAAGGTAAGCAATGTAATAATTCCTCTTTTTATTTTAGGATATTCCAGGTACTGGGCATAAATACCACCTTACGTTTGAAGTGAAAGAAAGTATTCAGAATGTAAGTTTGGGTCTTATATTTTCTTTAGTATAAGCTGGAACTGGAAATCCCTGACTGTATCTACGACCTCCGGGATTAGACGTAGGGGTGGGGTTTATTTGTATACATTACACCCGTCGGGACGGGATTTAGTGATAAAACTTCGATAATAATCCTTACTCCCTTCGACAAAACTCTTTCCGTTTCCTTTCTGAAGACCCCCCACACAAATACCCACGTACAGACATCCCCGACTCCATAAAATCTTTCCTCTTCTCTAAGCCAACTTCCTCATAATCATAGGTTGGAAGCGTCTTCTAATCCAGTGGTTCTTAACCTGGGCAATATTGCTCCCCAGGGGGCAATTTCAATTTTTTTTGGGGGGATGGAACGAAAAGGGGTGACACGGGGGCGAAGGAACGAAAAGGGGGTGATATGGGGGCGATGGAGCGAGAAGTTTTGGGGACACTTTGGAGACTTTTTCGTACAGTGAATCGCTGTACATCTGTCGTACAAAAACATCAGATCGCTCGCTATTAGTGGATTGAATTGTGTTTTCAAATGTTCCTCCAGCTAGCTTCAGTACAGAACGCCGTACATATGTGAAGACGCATCGCTTATCTTCATGCGCGTTGCGCAGCAGCCTCTACCTATACAGTGGCGCGCCATTGGCCAGAATATGGGAGATATGAGGAAAAGACTGGAAATAAATTATTTGCATCGATATGTCCTGATGACAATTTTAAAGAAAACAAAAAAAGTGTTTGCATAAATTGAAGAATTATTTCCTATGTTGTGATTGAGAGGTTATGTTAGGGGAGGGGGGGCGATGACAACTTCCTCATTGGCTCAAGGGGGCGATTCATTCAAAAAGGTTAAGAACCACTGTAATCCACTACCTGTTTAGAGCAGGAATCCTCAGATCACCCACCCTCTCATGGTTGCTGAGAGCAATACTGGTGATGAAAAAGTGTGTGTGAGAGAGAGCAAATTCAAAGCTGTTGTAAGTTATTAGTCATGTTTTATGGCTTAAGCTCACATATGAACCCAGCAACTGTGGTTTATTATATAATGGCAATTAAAACAAAAACAAAGGTCATTGTTCTTCTCAATCTAGAAGTGAAGGCTTAAAGCCACTCCACCTTTCCCAAATCTCTATTCTCACCTAATACATATCTGATGCTAGTATGTATGTATGTGTGGCTATATAGACTATGTAGACTATAGACTATATATATAGACTATATAGACTATATTGCCCAGATTTGTCAGATGTTTCATTACCTAAAAAGAAAACAAAGTATACACTAAAATGCAAAACCACTTTAAAAAACTAGGACTTGTTGTGATGTGATCTCATTTAGTTTTTTGTTTAATGGAGGCCTTGCATACCATCAAGTTCTTGCTAATGAATCATCCCACAATATAATGTGGAGGATAAATATGAAATGACATCTATCTTTCCTACATAAATGGTTCTACTGACATGACAGAGCAGAAGAGAATGGCAGAACAGAACCCAACATAGAAGGCTACTGTAAACCTTTCAGCCATTATTATTACCCACAAACCTTAAAGTTGCCAAGGTTGAGCAACATTGCTGTAAAGTAAGATTTGATCTATCTCAATCAGATGGCATCAGGTTTACTGTGAACTAAAATAAAGCCAAATGGTAATTCCATGCTGTTAGCAATAGTTTTAAACTGGTCTAATTATTTCTGCAACAGAAGTTTTAAACTGGTCTAATTATTTCTGCAACAGGGCAGCTCCCTGAATTGCACAGCTGAGATACTTTATCATCATGGTGAGACACCTGTTGCTCCTGAAGTACATTATGCTATGGAAGGGGAGTTTGAGACACATTCAAAGGAAGCAGACAGCATATTCTACAACAGAATTCAGCACCTGTCCGAGCCATTAGAGACCAAAAATATACCAGGTAAGCTACTTAAAATGTTGCATTCTGAAGTTAAATAACATCTGCAAATGTTTTCAAATAACCAATGAGGGAGGACCTTAAACATAAACTATTACAGTATATCTTCCTACCTAAAAACTGACAGGGAGCTCCAGAGATTCTTCCCTTCCTCTTAATGGCAGATTTTGCATTTTTCTTTTCCAATATACAAAGTTCTATAGGCCTGACCATATTCCTGTTCATTGCGACGTGTGGCCATTTCCTGCATGCACACACACATTTTTATGAGATCTTTGCATCTATTGACACTTTTCCTTTTAAAAAATATTGCTCTGGTTTATTTCATTTCTGTTGTTCATCTAAATATGGCGAGAATAAGATCTGACTTTTGTTTGAACCAGTCAGAGTTATCATGATGCAGTCCCTTTGAAAACTGTGTTTTGATATATGGAAATACATAAATAGTTAAGGTTTGCACCATGATATCTTATCCTTTTCTTAAAATCCATAAATAAGCAACAATATATAAATGTATTACTTGCATTTCTGACTACAGTGTTTTTGGGTTTTTTCTTAGTAACAAACCAGGAGTCTTAAAAAGTGAATCCTGGTCTCTGCATACTTATGTTATGGTAAATCTATTGCTTTAGTATAAAATACCAGATTTTTTTTTTAATTCCAGAAGATTAACACGGCTATATGGACTATATTGCCCAGATTTGTCAGATGTTTCATTTTTAAGGGAGTAGCGCTCCTCCACACAAAGCTGGTGCACTAGCTGGGGGCCCTCCTCTAAAAGCAAATGGCAACCTTGACCAGATGGGCTTTTGCAAGGATTTGTCTTGTGTGCAAGTTGAATCCCCTTCCTGGACCAGGGTGGGGTGGACTGGGTTCTGCTCATGCCTTAATCGTTTCTCAATTGGATTACTGCATTGTGCTCTATGTTGAGTTGCCTTTGAAGCCATACCTGACATGGGGTGAGATTACTTGCTGCATCATCTGGCCTCTAAAGGGTTCTAGCTATTTCAGATCTAACAGAATGGGAATGATTGAAATCTCTTCTATTAAACACTATAATCTTACAGGACCTTCTTTGTCATGATTGCTGCCCTATAGAACAACTTTACTCTTGAGATCTGGAGAACCCTGACTCTCTCTGTCTTTCAGAAGGCTGAGAAGACCTGTTTTTTTTTCTCATGCATTAGGCCAGGATATATGTATATGTGTGGAGGGGGGAGGTGTCCATTATATGTTTTGTGAAATTGCTATTATTATTAAAACTTAGGATATCTTGTTCTCTCAATTTTTTTAAACTTATAGTGGATTTTAGTAAGATGTTCAACACCCAGTATTATACATTTAAGTTAGGCAGTCATATAAATTTTCTAAACAAACAGAAATTATTTATGGTCCCAGCAGTGATGCAAAACAATAATCATATTTGGCTGTAGCATGTTTATAGCTATTAGAATTATAAGTACCTCCAATATGGATCTTAAGAGTAATACATGCCCACATAGTTCTGGCCATCCAGACTTAGTTTTTTTCTTTTTTCAATAGTTATTTCAGCTACATGGCTATTAGATCAAAGTCCAAATTCCAGATACACAAGGAAGAATGCATGTTGCACACCCAGATAATTTTTTACTAAAGCATGCATATTCACAATACCGCGCCTAGACATGCATTTTCTCTGTTTCAAGATTTGTTTAGTACAACTTTTACTTATATTTCCAGATAATGATGGAAACATGACAGAAGAAATGAAGCCTATTTTCAACTTAGCCAAGGTTGCCTCTGGATATATAGTATGGCAGAATTCGACAGAAAACACTTGGTACAATATGATTCAAATTCAAAATGTCAAACAAATGGTAAGTCAAAGTCTTAACCGATTTCAATTAGTTTCTCCCCCCACACACACACAAAAAAAAGACTGCTTCTCACTTCTACGTTATGACTGTTTTAAGAATACCAACCTCACTATTTATGACTCAAAAATTGCTAACTCATTTCCCCAGAGCAAAAATAATGCAACTGTCCAGAGCCTCCCTTGACAGTGAGATGGGCGGCATAATAAATTTAATAAACAAAATAAACTTTAAAGAACTACAGAGCCAAAGAATAACAAAGTCGTGACATTTTACACTCCCCTCTTGAGAAATCAGGGGTTCACAAATTACAAGATCCATCAGCTCAGGAAAGACTAACAAAATGTCAGCGAGAAAAAGGTGAAAGGGGGGAAAGAGGTTTATTTTACAGGTTAGTTGCAGAAATCTTGAAGACCAGATCCAGGCCTTAGGCCAGGCATTTTCACCCCAGCTTAAAAAGAACATTTCTGAGTACTCTGCTACATTTTACTTTTAATTTTGTTTTGTTCTTTTATAATAGGGCTGTACAAATTTTCTGGACTGATTATTGCACATTTATTTACAGTTTGGTAGCAGGTTACTTGAGGTTGGGAATAATACCAAAAGCAAACATGAGACTGTAGCACAGTATAGATTAGTTCCTGCAGTATGCTGCCTTTAAAAAAAAAAGTTATATTTTGTTTTCCCCTGAAACTATAAGGAATATGAGGTCACAAAAATCCAGCAAGCCAAGGAGTCAGTCCCTAATGATTTAATATTATGACAAAATAAACAGGGTTATAAAATAATAAGCAAAAATAAGCAAACAATTTGCTGGGATAAGACTAGAATGTTTCTCAATAAAGTATAACCATCTGGGTTTTTTAAAAGAGAAAATTTGCAAACCATAGTTGCTTGAGCCAGTAGAATTTTTTTTAAACGTGGGGGTTTTGCACCTAAGCTTGTATGACTAAAAGAAAGGAAAACTAAATCTCTTCTGATTATTCAGTTCCCAAATATACATTCTGTGTATTATATATAATTATCTATACTTAACTGAGAACTGTAGTTGCTGAACTGATTTTCTCTTTTATGGTTTCAGAAAAGAAATGATGACTATCTTGAATTTTCCTATGAGGTTTTATTTCATGATATTGCCTCCCAGGTAAGTAATATTTTGAAAAAGTTTTTTTTTAAAAAAAAGGCACAGTGGAAGTTATACATCTTATTTTCATATAACAACAACACTGGCAACAGTCAAGGACACTAAACTGGACAGAAATGGTTCCAAAATAGGGAGCAATGATGTACAGAAAGTCCTCAACTTACAATAGCAATAAGACTTATATACCGCTTCACAGTGCTTTAAAACACTCTCTAAGCCAGGGGTCCCCAATCCCCGATCCATGGACCGGTACTGAGCCACAGCATGCCCACAACCGGTCTGCACAAACAAGCAGCTTAAGTCCCATCTGTGGGATGCAGGCAGCACACAAAATCACGCACTGTCTGGTACGCAGAAAAACCTTTCTCCACAGAACCGGTCCCTGGTGCCCAAAAGGTTGGGGACCTTGCTCTAAGTGGTTTACAGAGTCATCATATTGCCCCCAACAATCTGGGTCCTAATTTTACCAACCTCGGAAGGATGGAAGGCTTGAATCCACCTTGAGCCGGTCAGACTCAAACTCGAACTCCTAGCAGTGAAGAGTGAATTAGCCTGCAATACTGCATTCTAACCACTGCGCCACCTCAATTGCAAGCAGAATTTCTGTTGTTAAGCGAGTCATGCCCAATTTTAAGATCTGATTGCCATGGTTGTTGAGTGAATCACTGTAGTTATTAAGAGACTCACACAGGTGTTAAGCAAATCCAGCTTCCCCCATTGACTTTGCTTGTTGGAAGTGAATTGGGAAGGTCCCAAATGGTGACCAGATGACCCTGGGACGCTGCAACCATTGAAAATACATGCCAATTGCCACGCACCCAAATTTTGATCATGTGACCGTGGGGATGGTGCAACGATCATAAGTATGAGAATCACTCATTAGTCACTTTTTCAGTGCTGCTATAACTTTGAATGGTTGTAAATCGAGAACTTCCTGTAGCCTCTACTCTGAGTGCAGTCTGATCTGATCCATGCCCAGCAACAAGTAAGAGCAAGATAGCCCAAAGAACAAGATAACACTCTTACTCTAGTCGAAAGCAGATCCCAGCATTTGTTTTCAGAATGGGAATGGGGCTTAATGCTATAATTCAATGAGGGCAAAAAAAAAAGCATGGGATATTTTGGCTTCTAAACCACCTGTATTAGTCAAACAAAGCCCCACAAGACCAGACCTGTGAATTCCATGGTAATAAATCTAAATTTGACAGGGAACTCATGGTAATTATTGGGAAGAACAGCAGGGATTGAGTAAGATGCCCAAGTCCAGAGAACAGTTAAACTGAATGTATTAATATCAGTTTCAAAATTCATGTTGCACTGATCAAAGACGTCTTGGTAGGGAATCTAAATGCCTGTAAGGATTCCATTTTTCAAATTAGCAAGTTACAGGGGTTCTTTTACAACAGCATTTACTAGTAAAACAAGTGATGAAGACTTCACAGAGCGCCATGAAAACCTCACTTGCTGATTTCTAAGCATATAGTAGTTCTTATTAAAGGGAGTGGAAAGAGAATTATCATTTCCTTTGATCTAGATGCCCCTTTTTTATCTAGTTAGCAACTTTGGATATCCAGTACAAGTAGTCCTCGACTTATGACCACAAATGAGCCCAAAATTTATGATGCTAAGTGAAACATTTGTTAAGTGAGTTTTGCCCCATTTCATGACTTTTCTTGCCACGGTTGCTAAGTAAATCATTGTTAAGTTAATAGCCCAATTAAGTGAATCTGGTTTCCCCATTGACGTTGCTTGTCAGAAGGTCACAAAAGGTGTTCACATGATCTGGGGACACTGTGACCTTCATAAATATGAACCAGTTGCCAAGCATCCAAATCTTGATCACATGATCATGAGGATGCTGCAATGGTCATAATGTAAAAAAATGGTCATAAATCAGTTTTTCCAGTGATGTTGTAACTTCGAATGGTCATTACATGAACTGTTGTAAGTCAAAGACTACCTGTACATACTTCTAAGAAAATAGGGAGCACAATACAGTCCTAAGCTTTAGGACTGAGTTGAGGACCAAAAAGGACCTCAATTGAGTTGAGGACTGAAATTTAACCAAAGATGAATATTGTTTATTTTCCTGAATTGAATCTCAGAAACTAGAAATTCTATATTTGAAGTTTTTTTCCCTAGCTGGTCACAGGAATTCACTGTTGAGTATTCCCAATGTCAGGCCATTTCTCTGATATAGCGAACAGAAAAGTGTGGTCTCTTCCCTGTTAGAATTCCAGTAGACTACCAAGACCTGGCTATTTCAAAGGGCCTTTATAATAGTGGTGAGTACTTGACTGCCTCTTCAAGATGTAGCAACAGGTTGTAGCTGGGTTATGTTAGTTACAAATCCTGCTGATTGGATATGCTCATATATTTTATCTAAGTATTACCATTTGCCCCTAGTGTTTTTTAAAAACTGAACTGTAGAATAAGGGCTGCTGCTCAGAGTTGAACATATTTGAGTGACACATAAGCCAGAGTAATCAATCATCCTGCTGGGTTTTGCCCAATGTTCAATCCTGTCAAGGACATTTTGAAATATGCCGTTGCTCTCTAAAGCTTTAGCCACTAGTTCTGTTTTAGTGTCATATGCAGGCGGAGCCCTTTTGTAAGATGTGAGTTAATTGCAAGGTTAGAGCAAAGTCCACCTCCTACGCCAGTGTTGCTCAACCCTGACAATTTTAAGGCATGTGGACTTCAACTCCCAGAATTCCACAGCCAGCATTGCTGGCTGTGGAATTCTGGGAGTTGACGTCCACATGCCTTAAAATTGTCAAGGTTGAGAAACACTGTCCTACGCTTTTCCTAAAAACATCATAGCATTACAAGATAACGGTAGCCAGGGAACTCACTTTCATGCAATCATGAAATATGGGAAGATTCAGCAGTGGTACTGCATATTGTTCAGAAAAGGCAGTGGGAACTGAAATAGCAGATGTACAAAGGACAAGAGTAGAGATACACATACATACACGCACGAACACAAACAGAAACACATACACATTTTCATTCAAATTTCATTATCCACAAAGTTTGATTTAACTAGGGCTGTGAAGTTCACCTCTATTTTGCATCCTGAAACAAACTTAGAGCAGCCTTGCAAACTTTTTGTTTCACAATTCAAAAGCCTAAGAGCACATTTGCATTACCGATCTGAAAATATAACCTTCAAATAAAAGTGCATCAGACATTGTTTTAGGATGTTTTTTCTGTGATCCTCATTCTGAATTGTCCTGGTCTACAGCTCAATAATTTTTATGAATAGGAAAAAAAGAGGTAGGAAAATCGGAAAGAAATGAAACATGGCATAAAATACCCCCCACTCCCCCAAAAAAAGGAACAGAACCTTGTTTTGGTGCCATGCTCAGAAATAAAATACACTTCCCAGATTTCCCTCAAACTTAGATAGTTCTAATATTTCCTTTTCTCTATTTGCAGGAAATTATTCCTTGGCACATGCAAGTTGTATGGCATCCACAGCATGGAGTGAAAGTAGCAGAGAATAGTCGCCAGTCAAAGTGATTTTAATTCTTGCAGGTTATTGAACTAATGAGGTGAAAGCAGCTACAAATAGCCAATAAAATTACTACTTGGAGGTTTCTGACACCCTTCCAATTCTGCTTATCCTCCAAGAACCTAAGTAAATATCCTCGGACCCTGGTCTGGCAGCACTTACTTATTAGACTGAATACTTACGGTATAGTGGCCTCAATGCTCTCTCTGAATGCTACTTTAGGCTTTCCAGTCACACAAGGACAACCGTATTCTCTTTCCATCCTCTAAACAGAAAGGACACGAAGTTTTTATTGATTTAAATGCACGGCCAAAGAGATATATTTTGGCTAAACAGCCTAACTTAATGCTATTAAGCAGCAGAATTCCAACAATGTTATCACTGAAACAAATGCAAGCTAAAATTGGGAAGGCAGAAGATACTTTGATTTCTCCCTAAACAGAATATTTTATCTATGTAACAGATGCAACGTTGCCTCCTAATGTGTAAGTATATATATATTTTCTTTAGTAAAAATTCATTGCTCCAAATGCTCCAAAAATGGAAACCTGATCTTCAAATATCATAATACAAGAAACTGATAGCAGGAGATATTGATTTATTTGGTGAGATATGGAACCCGTAACTGTACTAGGTTCCAACAGGCCAGGTTAAAGAAATGTTTTTGTCAAGTGACAGTACAACAGCATCATTCCCAGTGTAAACTTTAACACTCACCTGAGCATAGATTTCCAGGTGTAGTTCTCCCATTCCTGAAACAATCGTCTCTTTGCTCTCAGTGTCAAAATGGACTCGGAAAGTGGGATCTTCTCTTACAAAACGGTTAATGCCTTTGGCAAACCTGTCATCATTCTAAAAAGAGAGAATATTTATTCAGTTTATATGGCTACCTAATCAAAGTGAAGTACTATACCAGTGGTGGCAAACCTATGGCACGGGTGCCAGAGGCAGCACTCGGAGCCCTCTCTATGAGCACATGTGCCGTTGCCCCAGCCTTGCCTCTCCCCCGCAACCCGCTCACCAGCAGTCCCCCTGGAAGAGAGTTGCTCCCGAGCGTGGCCCACATGGAGCAGTGCAGCCAAGGACATGGTAGCCAGACAGCGTAGAAAAGATTCTGCTCTCACGCCCCATCGTGCACAGTTGATACTGGGAGGCGCAGGCAGAGGGTGTGGCTGCCATGACGCTGCTGAGCGATCAGCGGGCCCTGGAGGCTGCCATGATGCTGCTGAGCGATCGGCGGGCAGGCGGGGTGGGGGTAGAGTGGGGGCGGGGCCCGTTTTTGGGCACTCGGTCTCTAAAAGGTTCGCCATACTGTACTATACAGTGGATTAAAAATATGATTTAAGATGTCCCAAATTCACTAACAGCAGTGCAACAAAAGTCAAATAGGAAACAATCAGCTGATTCACAATTGCCCTGCTGAGAAAACATTAAAGCTGATCATGCTTTTCTGAAGATCAGCATGGTCAGGGCCAAACAAGCCTCAGAGGGAATGCTGTTCCAAACTTAGGAGCAGCACTAAACAAGGCACACCCAAGGAGTCCCACAACATGACACTGTATCAGCCTTTGAGGTAGGTCAAATCAGTAAATAGGGAAAGAGCCGTCCAATTCAGGGCCATCATTACCTGCTTATTCCAAATCATGACAACAGACCAATCTAGTATGTCACAATCTTGAAGGCCTGGGGAAAGTTCATAGTTGTCATGCTGGCCATGAAGAGCCAAGCTGCTTCAAACTCTGGACCAACACGGTGCAAGTTAAAGTCTCCTGACTCCCCACGCGTATGGGAAATTTAATCAACAGCCTTAAGGGGTACACAGCAGGAAAGCCAACACAGCAACAACAAATCTCAACTGATAAAGAATCTGATTATCTGTGAGGCACTCCAATACAAAATCCGAAAGAATAAATCCACATTTTTCCATTCATTGAATAATTTAACAATTCAAAAAGCTTGAGTTTCAATCGAGGCTTATTCTGGAGGAGAACATAAACATACTTGCTACAAATGGAGAATTTCTTACTTTGGGGTCATGTTAACTTATCTGGGAACACAATTAGGAATGTAAAAAAAAATCATACTGACATTTAAGACATCAAGCCTATCAAATGTTTATAGAGGGTACTCAAAATGACCACTTAACGCTGAAGTTATGGCACTGAACGAGTGGTAGTTTTGACTGATCCTCCAAGTTCTGGTCACAGCACCCCTGTGGTCACATGATCACGATTTGGGTGGTTGGTAACTGGCTCACATTTGAGACTGTTTGCAGCATCCTGTGGTCACGTGATTGCCATTTGTGACTTTCCCTACTGACTTTCCACAAGCAAAATCAATAGGGAAGCCAGTAGTAAAGGTTGCAAGTTGCTCCTGTAAGTCACTCCTTCTGCTTTTTCTATCGAGGAGCTCTGCTATGGAGTACATGAGCCCAGGGATCTCATATTCTGTAGTGTAGCTCACCACATCCCACCTGCCTGCTCAGGCTCTGCGGCAACCCCTCCGCCATCCAGCCATGCTTGCACCTGGTTGCAGCATCCTCTCGCAATGTATAGCATTCACCTGCCCCCTGGTCTGCTTGCAAGCCACCAAAGGAAAGACTTGTGACCAGGATTTTCAGCCTCCTGCTGGCTTCCCCACTGCTTGTCCTAGTCACATGAGGTCCTCAGTTAAGGAACTGCAATCCTCACATAATGACAGCAACAGGGGCTACCAGGATTGATGTTGCTAAGCAATGCGGTCACATAATGTTGAGCTTTGTGACTGCACTGCTTAGCGATGGAAATTCCACTTGCAGTTACTATTGTTAAGCAAGGAGAATCTGTAGCAGAAAAAGAGCTTCTGTACTGAAATGTTTCAATTACATTTTAATGGCAGAAATGCCACCATATTCTTGCCCACTCCTATCAAAAAGCCCCAATCAGATCACACTTAATTTATTCCACCAGTTGTTGTTTTACTTCAGATCCCTACCTTGTTGACTGGCTTCATTGTTATGGAAACAACAGGATCAGGTACATGAATGGGTTCCTATAAAGAGAGTCCATAGAAACAATTTCACAATGTAAACTTTCTAGAAGTCATCGCTGCTGGTAGACAAGTTCTTCCAAAGATTAAAAACATTTAATGAAGGCATTATAAAGTAAACATGCTTTTTCTTGAATGTGTTTCATACCATTATATTATTCTAACAAGCTATAGTTATTAGAATATCACTGTACTGTCTTCCTGCACCACCTATAATTCAAAATGTCCAGTGTTAGATCCTTATTATTGCAGGACTATATAATATTTGAAAAGTTGGGGGCCATTTGATGATTCTATATTGTTCCTGGAAACAATAGGGCTAATTATTTTTATCTGTGATTTGGGGAAGTTCAGGTGAAAGGCTTCTAGGATACAAACTGCTCCTACTCCAAACATTACATAACTCCTGAAAACATGAAATCATGCTGCTGAAATTCATCTATTTTGGTGGGTGTGACTTGGAGTTCCACCATCTTGTATTATAGCATCAAATCTGTAGACTTCATGGAGGGGAAATGGGAAAATCTAATTAAATAAACACCAAGAGCTTTGAATTATAGCATGCATGAAGAGAATGGATGCTTTTAAGTTACTAGTTTATCGCTGGCTATGGAGGCTTGCTTGCAGCTTGTATTCACCAACAACCAACCAAATTTAAAACTAGCCAAAAAAAATTATTTCTGTCTCTCATTAACAAGGACAAAAGTTATATCGTAAAACAAGTCTGCAGCAGCCATTGGAAAAATAAATAGGACACAGCAATTTGCAGAATCTGGGACATTCACGACTAACCATAAATTTTGTTACAAATCTGCAACATATATGAGTCAATGAGGGAATTACTGTTATATTCAAGAACTAAATATAGAACAATGCTTGCAACTAGGAAACAATATTCTCCCTTTTGTCTCCACCCTCAGTTGTAATTACAGCTGTGCAACTTATTGGTTAGTTTTGCTACTACCTATCAATGAAAAAGCTGTCACTGAATCTTTTTCACACTTGATTAAAATGTATCAAATAAATCACATAGATGAAAGTTCAGAGATTCCATTTTTTTTCACTCTATAAAAGTATATCTACAAAATGCCACACCTTTCATACTACTCTATTGCAATCATATGAATATAATGTTTAGTTTAATAGAAAAGACAACCTCTTCAAATAAAAGCTGAAATACAAGAACTTCATATATCACATTTTGAGACATATAATAAAAATATAAGACCTGAGAGAAACACATATGTAATTAAAGTGTGTTTATTAGGCTCATGGAGTGTCATTACCTAGCCAACTTGGTTGACACAGTATGCCAAGAGAAGCTGAGCAGGGTAGGACATGGTCATATTTGGACATTAGATTATTAAGAAAAAAAATCCCAAGGCTACAGGGAGGATCTGAAGGTTAAACAAAATTACTGGAAGAAGACAATGGCAAACCACTAGTGTTGCTATGAAAGCTGCATGAACATATGTAGTCAGGAAAACAACGAGAATTAAACTTGACTTAAAGGTTCATTTGTATGCTTTTGAGGGAGTTGGGATTAACTGAATGTGGGTTGATAACATTGCAAACCTAACTGGTTTAAGAGCATTCAAAAACTATTTCAACTGCTATCAGATATGAATTAATTCCTCCAGAACTGTGTCGGTGATGTTTATTTATTGGAATTTATTTAAGGCCTGGGAAGAGAGACACTGGAAGCATGCCCCAGGCTTTTACTTCCCAACTTAATAATGATAATGATAATAATAATAATAATAACAACAACAACAAGAACAACAACAAGAACAACAACAAGAACTTCCTTCATTGTACAGGGAAAGCTAAAAACAGACTAACAATAGAATAAGCAGAATGGGAGATTTCCTTTCTTTACTCACACCTATTTTCACAAGGAGCTCAGAGAAAACACTCATGCCTCTTTCCAAATCTTAGGAATGTTTTCCAAAACAGGTTATCCAAACACTTTCTTCTTAGAGAAAGTCATATTACCTTATATATAAAGCATGGTTTACATTCATCTATATATCTACCTAATTGAGTTATACCCTACTTTTCCTCCAGGAAACTCAGTAAGGAACTTCCTCCTTCTCTTAACAACAACTCTAAGAGTGGTTGGTCCAAAGACATCCAGTGAGTTTCCTTGAGTGAAGGTGGACTTGAACTTGGGTCTCTTTGGTCCTAATCCAATACATCCACACACTATTCTGACTGTTTTTAAGACAAAACACAAGAAAGATTCACTGCATGATATGTTTCTTCGTATTCCTACTCTACCAGAGTGCAGAACCTCTGTTTCTAAGGTTAATATATTTATGTCTTGTGTTTTCAAAAGCTTGTATATAGCAGGCTAATATATTGATAGATAAATGCACAAATGTGTGTATGTTTTGGACTAGGAAAAGGAAGACATCCCCACATACAAACATAATTTGAAATGTTCAAAATCTCTTTTGAAAAATTCACATTTATAGATAGGGAAAACTGGAACCAAATTTTTAAGACTTAAAACAAAAAAAAGCTGCAACAGCCCAGTTAACAACTTACCATAGAATGGTCAGTATGGTCTTTCTCTGTGAATGTATCTCCACTAGCACAATCAATGCCAAAAAACGCACAGATATCCCCTGCATAAACCTCGTCCACATCCTAGCAAAATAAAACAATATTTTAGATAGTTATTATACTAAGTACGTGGCATGAGATGGTGTTGGCAAAGTATAACCTTAATAAACAGAAACTGGCTCAGCTGATTTTAGTGCATATATATAAACATACATGATTAAGCATGAAATAAAATTTCAGAATTTTAAATTCATTTACATAGGTAAGTGCATGATTTTTCAAGAGCAATGAAACAATGTACTGCTATATATCAGAGAATCGGCATGATTTTAGCTAGTGGGTACATTACGCATTTTGAAACCCTGTTGTGGGCCATCTTAGAAAGCATTTGCCATGGGGAGATGATGGCCTGATCACAAACTGGCTGCCAATCATAAATCATCTGTTCTGATAAGACTGAAAAAATGGCAAGCAGCTCCCAACAGGGTGAAAAGCTGATTGTTTACACAAGGAAAACAAATTCAAGGAAAAGGTTAATTACCATCCCTGATTCATGAAGCAAAGTCTTCAAACTAAACTAAGTTAAGAGAGACTCCTACCTCTGTAACATATTAAGATGAAGAATTAAGGATTCTATTTGTACTGCCCAAAGGACAGGTACTTCTTAAATTTATGTTTACACTCCTCTATCCACAAATGTTGTTCCTCTTTCCTTTTTTCCTTGTAAAGGCCCAGCAATTTAGATGAAAATGGCCTTGGATTCCAACAGACTTTTGCTATTTCTTGAAAGCTGTTCTATTTATTTGATGTGCAAAGAAAATGGGAGCCACAAAGAAGAGAATGGGGAGAGTGCATTGGCACAGATCAGGGTTGTGGGAAGCACAGGACGCAACAAAACGAGTCAGGCAGAAGATAATTCTGAGGTCTTCAAGGGGTCACACTCTTAGATAGGCAACTTCTCCACATTTTGAATGGAGAGTGAACAGTGGAACAGACTGTCTTGGAGAGTGATGAACTCCCTTTGAAAAAAGAGGACAATCAGTGATGAAGCATCAACTGATCTTCTAGGGCAGCAGGAAGCTATGTTAAATAAATAAACTCCAAGTTCTTGCCAACTGTTTGATCATCTCCTCCTCCTCCTCCTCCTCCTCCTCCTCCTCCTCTATTCAGCATAGAAACAATTCCTCTCCATGGAGAAGAACCAAGGCACCCAAAAAAAGCAGATATGCAAATTAGAGCAAAATACTTTTACACCCCACACAATATACATAATATAGCTTCCTTTTGTGTTTTTACATTTTGGAATATCTTTTGCCTACAAAAGATTGGTTGGCGGCCCGGTGAGAAAGGAAGGGGCAGGCACCTTTATGCGTGCTTGTGCACAGACACAAATGTGGCTGCACGTGCATGCGTGCGAACGGGGCCACGAGCATGCACGCTACACAAATGGGGCTGCTAATGCCGGCGCAAGGCTCGTGGTGAGGCTAGCGCTGATGGAAGGATGACCGCATGCACATATGCGTGTGCACTGGCTAGCCACTCATGCGGCCCGGTGGCCAAGAGGCCACAGCCCAGCAGTGGGCTGCAGCCCACAGGTTGGGAACCTCTGGCCTACAATATATATGTAAAATGATGTAATATTTACACTGGGGAATAGCTTAAAAAGAGGAGGTGTCCTTCCTTTTGATCAGAGCCAGAATAAGGATGCAGGAGACAACCAATGGGAAGCCAAGTTGTTCTCATCTCTCAGGGCTCTTGTTGTTCATTATTCTATGACAGATGTGACCAGAGGAGAAACCGAGAACAGAATAGTCCACTATAGTTAGAAAAGAAAATGTAAGGTGTGTGCTATAAGAACAGAGTCCCCACTGTGCAGATCAGGGACTCTTCTCTTCAATATCCTTGCTTTGATACAGACTCAGTGCAACCGCATCCTGAATTACTTCTGCTTATTAAGGAGGAGAGTTCATCTGCTGAAAAAAAGGCTACATAAATTGGAAATGGCATGTCTTAACACCTCACTCACCTCCAGCTTGTCTGCATGCATGCGGGCGAATCGTTGTACTCGTGTCTTTTTCTGAGTCCTGGTGTTATAGATATAGCTACTTTTCTTTAGCATCCCTTGATAAACACGAACATATGTCAGCTGCCCAAAACGTCCAGCCTGGAAGTAGCAAAAACCAAAAGCTCAGGGGTTTTAAAAAATAAATAAATAAGACTTTCCCTCAAAACATAATATATCCTTAAACATCTACTCAGTTTAGCAGCCACCCTGATTTTCACAGAGGAAATACCTTTCTAATAATTGCAAATATTTTATTAAATAAAAATATAAACTTACCTCAAGTTTAAATGCCAGGCCCAAAAATGGCAGGGAATCATCTCTGGCGGAACCTAGCAAAATCCTGGATTTTTCCGGATTATCCCTTCAGCAAAATAAAATTTAGTTTAAATGCCAATATTTTAAAGGTAGTTATCAATCTGTTATTGTTGTGGAGCTTTAATGTACAGAGTAACTTAATGCACATTATCACAAGCTATGAAAACCTATGTAAGATGAAGAATTAGCATTTGAGCACTCTGCAGCTTGTACTACCGTATCAGGTTCTGTGGAGTTGGACAATAGTAGTGTAAGAGAGCTGGAGATGGTATGGAAGCAGCATTGTCTATAGATAATAGTACCAGTTATTCTGGTGTCTGACAGATCCTGCATATGAAAGAACTGAAAAACTATAAAGCCAGTGTTCTGGCGATGCCCTCCCAAAACAATGTCTTCATAAGATATTTTATGCACATCTACAAATGCTTTATGTTGTAACTCATAGAATAAACATCAACACAGGGATGTTGGCCAATGATGAACTACTATAAAAAGCTTCATCTATACTAGCTACCGTTGCAACAGCAGATGACATGACTGTTTGAATGGGCTGTGCAATGTTTCTGATCTGAATCAGAAAAGCTGCTTCAAATCATATGGGAGTATAAATACAGCATCTGCCTGTCACTCATTAAAGCAGCTGCATCTGTTTCCAGGAGGGTCTGGCTTCAGCAGAAGTCACAATGTGTTGTTTTAATGAATCAAGTGGTGCTGCATTTCTCTTCCTGAATCAAATCAAATCTGAAGCTCTATACAGCCCTCTTCACTAATGTATCACTAAGCTCAATAACCAGCAGCAATTCAGTTTTTTAATGGTCTCCCATCTGTAGGCTACACTGATGTATCTATTATCTCAGGAGATGATTTTATAGGTATACTGAACATGAGGCATAAGGGTCTATGACAATTCAACGCGGCCAACTCGCCCTGGCCAACTCACTGTGGGACAAGAGTTACACTGATATCAAAGAAATGGTGGAATAGAATCATTAAAGAAAGGATGCAAAAGCCAGGAAAGAATGAAATGTGAATGACAAAAATTAAATAATCTTTTATTTTAAATAATTAAATTGAATTGTTAAATTGTCCTGCAGCGAGTTGTCCCATTGCGAGTTGGCTGTGGTGAGTTGGCCACGGAGAATTGGCCGCAGCGATTTGGCTGCAGCAGGTTGTCCCATTCCATACTTCACAGTATTTTGGCTGGGCTCTCCAGGTTTTGGGAGTAGCCACTTCAGTTTTAAATTGGGGCCACTTTGAAGTATCTGTCAACAGCATGCTTTAAATCTGGATCTGCCACAATGCTAATGGATCTCAAATTTACTTTCCTTATTTCCTGCTAAAGTATCAAAGTCATATCTTCTATCTATAGGCAAGAAATTCTGCAGTACTACAGATCTAAGGATATCTCTCATGTATGATTTAGTTTTATGTTTAACAGAAGCAAAGAGCAGGACAATAGGTACTGAAGTACTTGTCTGGAATGTCAGTCTCTTAACTTTTTTTCTTAGTCTTTGAGCAGCTGGTAGAGTCAAGGCCATGCCATGCTGTCAATCTGTAGGATGTTCTATAAAGATGCCTCAGATATCACAAAACAACAATATCTCTATGCCAAGGAAAATTATTTTGTGAAACAAAGAATTGCAATAAGTGATTCTATGACGTGGACTTTTCACAGCCTAAGAAAATAGACAGTGTTTTATAAAACCTAGCTCCAAATATCTGCATATTTCTTCATATTTCTTCAATGGTTAACCCCTTCCCCTATCCATCAAATGCCTTAACACTGACTTAAAATTTAATGCAGTTTGCCCCAAAACAGAGTAAGAAAACAATTTTATATGTATGAGTTTCAATGATAACTGGAATAATATATTTTAATTTAAGCAATATTAATGGTCAAAATCCTGGAAGAAAGCAAACTGCATTACCTAGTTTCTATCATCTCCAAGGTGCAGCGGTATATAGTCATTGGGGTGATGTTTGTTTGTTTAGGAAAAGGTCTATACAAACTAGATCAGCTTTTCATAGTCTGGTGCTCTCTCAAATGAGCTAGAATTACAAGTTCCCAGATTCGCAACCATGCAATCCCATCTAAAGGGGAACCATATCATAAATATGTGTTTTCTCCTCCATTCATTCTTAGTACTTACTTCTGGTTCAATAATGCGTAATTCTGCACTTCTGATGGATTTGGGAGATATGCCAGAACAGCATCCAACAGAGGTTGCACCCCTTTATTCTTCAGAGCACTTCCAAGCAGTACAGGGGTGAAGGTCCTGCTGAGGGTTGCTCTTCTTACTGCAAGCTAGGAAGTATCACAACATTTATATTTCATTATTAACAATTACTTGCATCCACTTGTCCTACCAAATGAAAAACACGAATCTTGGCCTACGAAAAATATAGCAGAAATGTTGCTTCATTCACCATGGTGGCAATAAGTTCTTTAAACTGGACATATGTTCATTTTAAAAACAAAAAGCTTCCCTGTTTTGTTTTGTTTTTCATTTCTCAAGATGTGGCTAAGTCTATTCAGAACACACTTATTACCCCTTTCTTCTTCTTCTTGATGGAATTGCCTGTGGGTTGTACAGTAATAGAAACATCTGATTAAAGATTGTTTGAAGGATTAGAAAAACCATTATTAAACAAAAAACTGTACAGGAGTTCTGGGCTTCAATAAGCTGAACAGAGGACCAAGAGGACAATAAAAGTTGAAGAATGAGCTCAACTTCAGCTCAGAACATTGCTGGAGCCATGAATGTTATCAACTGAGAGGCTGTGGGCTTTAGAGCAAGATATCCTATCTTAATATGATATAAAGAAAGCTGAAATGAAGCAAAAGAACCCATTCAGAAACTCAAAATCCTACCCACTGAATCTAGGCTTGCTTAGTCTTATGATTTGATACTGTTTATCAGTCATAGGAGCCAATGATTCATATCTGAAATTGGCGAATGAAGATTCTGAATTCCTGTTAGTTTACTAAAGCTAACATCTTTAAACCTTCAGAATATAAAACCTTGTCATGCTTCTCCTGACAGATTAGGTGGGAACCAATTAAACAGGAACTCAAGCAATTAAGAAGTTTTGGTAGACATTTCATTTGCTGAAAGGCTAAGAAGTTGCTATAAAAATTCCAATGACTCCAGTATATCGAATTCAAGACCTATTTATGGTGAAATCAATGTTCAGATTCTTGCATCTCTTTCTCCCGCGTGAACTCTGCAGGTCTCTCTTTCAAATGGGAAGCCTGATTTTCCACCTGACTCTTGTTCTGATAACAGCTATAACAGATACCAGTTGTTCTCCTCTTAGCAGGAGAGCTAACTTTCAAAATGTCCAGGTGAAGGTCTTAAATTTCAAATCTCTTTTTGCCCCAATCGTACGATATCTGCGAGAGAGACAGAGTTCTAGAAAAATCTGTTCCTGTTCCAGCACTTTCAACTTCCTCCCCATCCTTAGCCTTATACTTTGACAAATTACTTTTGTTACCTGCTTTCTCAGGGTGTAACACAATAGCCAGACTTTCATTTCAGCAACAAATTATTTAATATGAACAAAAATCCAGTAATTCAGGGCTTTTCAACCAGTGGTACGGGTACCACCTGTGGTACATTGGCACCGGGCAGGTGGTATGCGACCATCCTAGAAAAGTGGTAACTGGGGAGGGGAATGAGAGTGCCGCCGGGTGGGCAGGCAGGTGTCTTGCTTGGCTGTGGCTTGGGGGGCACTTTTTTCAGTGCCATTGTAACTTCAAACAGTCACTAAGCGAACTGTTGTAAGTCGAGGATTACCTGTACTTTATCACTTTTTTCCTTTTTTGGGGGGGTCATCAAGTTTTTGACACCTTGCTAGGCGACTAGTGGTACTCGGATATTGCCATATCCTAAAAGTGGTACAATGGGTGAAAAGGTTGAAAAGCCCTGCAGTAATTTAAGCATTTGACCTTTAGTAAACAAGGAGAATTTGGTTCTTGATGACTCAGTGGCCATGTTAGTTTCCTGGCAATAATGCAAAATTGTTTCTACTGCCTTCATCTCATATTTTTTATTTTCTAATTTGGTCTGTAGCTGTGAAAATTCCTGCTCAGCTTTCTGAGATCAGCCAAAATTGTTTTAGTGTTGCCACCTCCCGTGACACTTGCTAAAAATAAATGTCCAGCAAGTTTCTCCATAAAAATAATCTAGATAATCACCTGGCTGCCTGCCACAGTGTAAACATTAATCACTGGACAAATTAGCTCAAACAAGCCCAATCTTTGGTCTTTCTCACATCTATTAAACAATGTAAAATCAGCTAGCTATGGTATATGCTCTGCTGGGGGGAGACCGAAGTATTTTTCATCTCACTAAGCAGAAAAGCATAGATTAGTATAACGCTTCAAAACTCAGGCTAAAATAATTTACAACTTTTATTGTAATAAACTGGTCTCAAAGAAATCTGCATGAAATAAGAAATGCTCCTGTTCTAAACAGCAGTCTTAAGTTACCTTCCTATATCTACAGTTGCTGCAATTTATAAATACAGCACAAAGGCTATAATTTTGCTTTGATTTTGTTGAAGCTTTGTAAGACATATGAATGTAGGTTTATTACAGCACTCAGGAAACAGAAGTAGACAAACAGAAGCCATAGCAAAATGTTTGTTATCTTTAGCCGCCAAGAGGAACAATTTTGCTAAAGGTTTCATCTAGAAAGATAGATGAGACATATGGTCATATTTAGGCCATAGCTGTGCTAAAAGTAGCAAGCATCAGGTGATGAAAAAAACTATTCAAATAAGGGAGAGCAATTACTAGTCAGAGCTGAAAATAGACTAGATAAGAAGTTTTAATTATATAATGTAACAGCCTAATGTCAAGTTTCACGTTTATGATTACCGCCACCAAATCAGCAATGACGACTCTGGAAAGTAGGAGACAAAAAATGGTATCCTTTTTTCTTTCTTTTCTTCTGAAAAATGCCTACATGCTGAAGAATGGTAGAACATCTTATTTTAAACCAATACAGAACGATTTCATATTTTTTTTCATTCTTGCATCTTCTTGGTATTTTCCTATTTAATTATTTCATTCTCAACTAGCAGTTCAACATTCTTTGACAGGCATTTATCGACCCCATGCTTAGAACTGAAATGATATAATTCACAAATTTATATAATCCTGAGAATCTACACAATTACCTAAGTCTGTAGAAACTGATATTTGAGTGAAGTTCTTTTCCTTTTAAATTCACATTTGTCTCCATAAAATTATTTAAAGTCTTTTTTAAATGTAACTTAAGCAAAACATCCATTTCTGTCTTTGTGGTAAGGGATTCTACAAGCTAATTGTGGTTTATGTGAAGAAACAAAATATGTTTAGGACTGAAATAGGTTGAAGATGCTTCATTCTATTTTGTATTAATCTTAGTTTGCATAGATAAAAAGGCACAAGTAATTTAGTGAGTGGGCTGAACATGTGGACATTTTCCAAATTAAGACAAAAGACTTCAGTCCATTGAAGGTTTTGCAGAATTGAAGTAGTTACTTTTACACTAAAATATATAAGATCAGCCTGTACATATTTCTGCTGGATTTTCAAAGTATACAAATACTGAAGTACTCAAAGCAGTTTAGTAACTCTCAACTGAGGTGGAGATTCCAAATTAATTCTCCAACCGAAATCCTAGAGTAATACGACCTTGGGAACCAAATGATTATATAAGAGCACTTAACATGGAACTTAATCTTTTAATTGTCATGTAAGAGACAGGATCAAGCAGCAAATTGAATAACCACCAGCATGTAGCAGTTTCCCAGACTATAAGTCATCAAATTCTAAGAAGGATAACAGGAGATGACTTCCAAATGCCAGAGCCTGTATTTTCCAGGCTCATCAAGTCTTCAAGCCAAACTCAGTCCTAAACTAAGCAAGTTCAGCTGTGGTGACATAGTTTCCATTTACACTCCTCAATTTATACATTAGAGGAAGTAATTAAGTAAATTGTCAAGGATAAACTTGCAATAAAATAGTCTTTCAGCAGAACAGTATGTATTTTTCTTTGAAACAACTATCAATATTTAAGTCCCAACATCACAGGTATACAGATTAGATAGGAAAGCAAGAGTAGAAATGATGACCTACAAGATCTGTCACAACCTTGTCTACCACACTAAACAGCTGGTTTCCTTCAGGCAGCTTCCTTACCCTCCAGTCATTTGTAGCTATTAATGACTGGTTTCAAAAGCTTAATGCTTCCCTGGATAGCAGCAAAGTGTCATGAGGAAGATATTGCAGATACGTATACTTTCTAATGCTGCAATTTAGTTCAGCTCTTAAAAGTAATAAAATACAATAATCTATATTCAAAGCTGTAACAAACGAATGCTGGCTGTATCAACCTCCTACAGTATCACATGAAGTGTTAATACCACTTTATAATGCTTTGGTAAGACCACTCTTGGAATACTGCATCCAGTTTTGGCCTTCACAATGTAAAAAAAGATGTTGAGACTCTAGAAAGAGTGCAGAGAAGAGTAACAAAAATGATTTAGGGACTAGAGGCTAAAACATATAAAGAATGGTTGCAGGAATTGGGTATGTCTAGTTTAATGAAAAAAAGACTAGGGGTGAAATGATAGCAGTGTTCCAATATCTCAGGGATTGCCACAAAGAAGAGGGAATCAAGCTATTCTCCAAAGCACCTGAAGGCAGGAGAAGAAGCAATGGATGGAAACTAATCAAGGAGAGAAGCAACCTAGAACTAAGAAAAAAATTCCTGACAGAACAATTAACCAGTGGAGTAACTTGCCTCTAGAAGTTGTGAAAGCTCCAACACTGGAAGTTTTAGGAAGAGACTGGACATCCATTTGTCTGAAATGGTATAGGGCCTGCCTGAGCAGGGACTTGGGCTAGAAGACCTCCAAGGTCCCTTCCAACTCTTTCTATTCTGTTATTTATTGCAGTATTAAAAGTAAGTAGTCATAACTTTCTGCTAAAATTTTCCAGATTTTTAAGTTCTTATATATATTTCCTTACAATTAACCTGCAAGAAAAGTGTTAAAGTTGGAAGCTTAATTTTCAAACATCAATCCAAGCATGTTTCCACTTGCTGGTTGGGCAATTCATGGTCCAACTTGGCAACCTTAATTTATAGCTGAAATTAAGTCCGATAATTATTTACTCAATATAAACAAGTGAAGCAGATTAAATTGCGAGTGGCAGGCAGAGTATGCCAACAGATTATAGAAATAATCACTGAGTATCATCAACATTAGTGCAATCCTTTATTAAGAAGAGACTGGACAGCCATTTGTCCGAAATGGGGTTTCCTGCCTGAGCAGGGGGTTGGACTAGATGACCTTCAAGGTCCCTTCCAACTTTACTATTATTATTATTATTATTATTATTATTATTATTATTATTATTATTATTATTATTATTATTATTATTTACAGAGATCAGCAATACGTAAAATGGATAAAACCAGATAAAATTGAACAGTTCAAAGAAAGATTATCTCACTATATTTAACATTAGTTGCCTCATTTTAACTACTTTGGTTATTGTGTAGGTAGTTTAAGTCAGACAGTAAAAGATGGGTATAAAATAGTCCCTTCCCTCAGATACACTTAGTAAAAGGTTTTGATGTCCTTTGAAGATCCTTCTAAAAGTTACAATAAAAAGGACACGTTAAATTTTCTTGATCTCACCAGTGTCATAAGGGCAAGAGTGCTGAGTTATACTTGCCAAATAATAGCAGGGATTGAAGGATGTTATGCCTGGTCCTGAATGCATCCAATTTCAAAGTCCCTGGTGTAATTCAATACTGCCCCTGTAGATAGTAAGTATTCTGCCTCTCCACTCTATGTAAAAATATAACCCAGTCCAGACATAGCTCAAACAAACCCATGTTTTCCCTCCTCCTCCTGTCAATTTTGCTTTATAACAATTTGCTTCTGCCTGGAGAAGAGTGCTTAGAAACACAACCATCTTGTAAATTTTCAGATACCTTTATATGAATTATTACTGTCTCTATTCTTATGTTTCAAGGTCAAGAAAACTGCCACTGTTTAAATTTTTGTTTTGCTTTGTTTTAAGAAAGGGCAACAAAATGGCAACAAAATGGCTGAAATCACCAGGAGCAGAGAGAGACCCAGGAAAAGTTCACCTTCAAAGTATATCAGAATTCCCCAAAACTTTATCACTAGTTATTTGAGTGCTTGTGTATTGATTCAAATATTATTGAGCTTAAGAAAATAAAAAATACTTCGAATACTCAAATTGCTCTATGTTATCATTGACAGTTAGAACAGTTAACCAGTGGAACAACCTGCCTCCAGAAGCGGTGAATGCGCCAACACTGGAAGTTTTTAAGAAGACACTGGACAGCCATTTGTCCGAAATGGTATAGGGCAGCGGTTCTCAACCTATAGGTCGCGACCCCATTTGGGGTCGATCGACCATTTCACGGGGGTCGCCAAGCAAGGCTGTCTGCCATTTTTTTCCCCCTTTTCCGGCGGGTGCCTTACCTCCCTTGAGCTGGGCCAGCTGGTGGTCGGCCTGCTCCATCTCTGCCGCTTGCCAGCTACGCCTCGGCCGGCGCAGGGGGCGGAACCACGCATGCGTGGCGCTCCTGGGCAGGGAAAGTCCTCGACTTATGACCGGTTTAGTCCTCAACTTACGACCGGTTTAGTCCTCGACTTACGACCGGTTGGGGGTCGCGGCATTAAAAAGGTTGAGAACCACTGGTATAGGGTTTCCTGCCTGAGCAGGAGGTTGGACTAGATGACCTCCGAGGTCCCTTCCAACTTTATCATCATCATTATTATTATTAATCTGGTAATAAGCCTTATCAGAGGAAGTAATGGTTCCACTCTATTCTATACTGATTCAGGTTTTGAGCTGTTTTCAGCTCTAGACATGTCATTTTGAGAAGGATACCACTTTAGGAAGTGATGAGATTCAAATAATTTATTATTATTATCACTGTTTTAGAAAGCATTAAATTTGCGTAACTTGTAGAGTATGAAATCATTTTTAATCATTTTATTCTTCAAGAATTCCTATGAAAGTACCCATTTTGTTTTGCCTTTTTTGTTGATGCATAATGCAGCGCTACACTAATAGTAGAAATACTTACTCCAAAGGCCTTTAGTAAGTTTTCAAAAAAAGAACAGAATGAATTAAATTCTCTTACCTTCAAATCAGTCACTGTTGGAATTTTCTCTTCAAGAAAAAGCTCTCCAAGTTTTTCATCACTGTTTGCGACACATTCAATCAGTTCCTGGCGGCGATCTGAGGACTCTGCTCTGAACTCAGGAGGGATATCATCATATTTAACAAACTGGCTACAGAAACGGGAAAAATAAAAAGTTCATCAATATTCAGGCTCAACTATACAATCTGGTATTTTGGACAGCTGACTTGAAAAGATGTATTGGTCCTTAGCAGCACACATACTGATAAGTTTTAATTTTCATCTTCATTTAATTTTTCCCTTTTAGGAAACCCCAGCACTAATGAATGTGATTTTAAAAATTATCAACTATTCAAATCTACATCTATACAGCCTTTGGTGAATTTATCTAAAGGAAATTAATAGGAAGCTTTAGATCTACAAACTAATTTCTGCATGCTGCAGCTGCTCTGCTCTTCTTTATTTCCCGCAGCTTTTTTGTTAGCCAATAAAAAGAAATCATGATTGAGTACCCAAATCCAGTATTTAATTAGTAAGACATCACAGATCTTGAAGGCAACGTGGATGCAATGCACCGATCTATTACAATGAAGACATCTAGAACATGGGATAATCTGCTTTTCCCTCCAATTTATCACTTTTCCAAAGATAAATGGCATTAAGGCTTAGATTAGCAGGCATCAAACTTCATGATGAGCTATGACTAGGTCCATACCCCTCTTTCAAGAATGAAGAATCTGGAATTATTTGTTTTTGGTTATTTGGTTTACTGCATTGTTGAGATCTTTATATTAATTTTGATTTAAAACTAACCATAGTTAATCAATTAGTCAGCATTAAAATGTAATAAGGTAACAAAAATATTTTAAATCCTCTTTCCCAATGGGAAAAGAAATGGGGAAGCACATCACTATGTCTGAAGATTGAATCATTGCAAGTAGATTTTTTCTTATTAATTTGCTGCTCATCCAAGCATCTTCATCAGTCAGAGCAGGTTAGTTAGGCAGAGATCCATTAGAATGTACCAACTCCTCCCACACCAACCTCAGAGGTTTCCTTTCCAAAGTAACTTGCTCTGACTGGTGAAACTGCTTGGATGAGCAGTGAAACATCTCAAACTAATACGAAAAATACGTCCAGTTGCCACGACTAAATCTTCAGATAACTTTACCTGGATGACTGAGAATCTTCATTGACACATAACTATTAGCTTTCCTATATCTCAATTATGTCATGCTAAAATAGGGTTTAGTGCGAAACCCAAATAAAAGCATTGTACACATACTAAATTTAAACTGAATAATACAAACAGAGAGCTTGCTAGTAGACTTTCTAACACACTTCAAAATCTGATTAAGACAAGACTGCTTGTTTGTGTTGGTTACGTATGGAAGGTTCCACTGCAACCTCCTGTGATGGTTAAAATCAACCTCAGAAATTCCCAATGAGAGGCAGACAGAAGGGAAAATGGCTTCAATCTAACACAGTTTGTTTTAATCATCAGAATGGCAAGCTTCAAATTCAATCTTAAGCTATAAAGCCCCATCATAATAGAAATCACAACATATGGATTCATGCTTACAGTGTGTTAAGGCAAAGCCAAGCAAATTACACAAGCAAAACCCAGTGCGTGAACCCACATAATACATTATAGTTAAGAGATAAGAAATATTATGCTGTGCTATTCCTAGCTTATCTTTCCTGAATAATCAAAATTACTGGAGTTTACTTCTAGAAGTAAAACTCTACCTCAAGAACATGAAACGTCTTTGCATTGGGAAACTTTTAGCACCTTACCCAAAGTCACCATCGAAGTATATAGCCTTTTCTTCAATTAAATCAATAACTCCTCTTAATTGCCCTTCCAGTCCCATGGGAATCTGAATAAAAGCAGCATTCTGCTTCAGCTTGGTTCTGTAAAAATTAAAAATATATACAATTTCTATATGAACCACAAGTATAAATAGTCATGAAGTCTATTTCTCCCATTATAAGTCCATTAAGCCTGGAAGAATGATTGTGGATTTCTGTAAAAATTATATCATTTGTGCATGTCTCTTCCTAGATATGATAGCTCAGATTCTTAATTCATGCCAAATATGCAGAAATTGTACCAAAGAGATTGCTTAGCTGCAGTCAAAAGCTAGAGAACAAGTCTCTTTGGTACAATTTCTGCATATTTGGCATGAATTAAGAATCTGAGCTATCATATCTAGGAAGAGACATGCACAAATGATAATAGGCTTTAATTTTAAAACTGAAACAAGATATATTTACATTCTTCAGTATCTGCAAAATTCTTGACTGATAGAACATTCTCAATGTTTACATATAATATTCAGAAAAACAATCACCTGTTAGTGGAATTTAAGAGTCAGATGAGCAAATACTACTATTACTATTAAATTTGTACGCTGCCCAATTCTCAACAAGTTTCAAACAATGTAACCATCACATGCTGAGAAATTTAGGATATTTTCATTCTGATTTTGTGGCATTTATAACAGGTGACCATCAGCAATCTTACGTCACATAGCCTTGGCAAAACTAGAGAAACTGTATATTTATATTCACTGACAAGTCCTGGTCTCAGAGACACAATTTTGACCAGTTGACTTCATAAAAGGAACAAATTACTGCATTTAGTGATCATTAATTCAGAATGTTTATCTAATTACAAGTTTTAGACAGTGAAATTAAGCAGCTGGCTTTAAGGGTCTTTTCATACTTTACAGTGAAATTATTTGTATACAATAATGAGGAAATCTTTTCTGTATCAACTTACAATAGCCTTGATACAAATGGGCATCTAATCATTTTACCTACTAGAGTTTTGAGAAGGTAGCTCACAAGTCAGGTGACAGGTAGGTGGGATGCATTTAAATTTAGAAGTTCCTACCTTAATTGTTGTAAGGCTCGGTTTGGATTTGAGCCCGTGCGATCCAATTTGTTGATAAAGGTCAAGAATGGAACATCATATCGTTTCATTTGTTTGTTCACTGTCATGGTCTGGCACTGAACCCCTCCGACAGCACACAACACGAGAATGGCCCCATCAAGAACCCTCAGGGACCTTTCCACTTCAATTGTGAAATCAACATGTCCTGAAAGTGAAATAATTGTATACAAGTTTTAAACTACCTAAAGATTCACCGCTGCTACTGAATTCACGCCACAATTCCCATTTCTTATGGTTTTCAGGAATGGCAAGCAATAAATGCAAGCCAAACTAACAGTTAATTGAGTATTCCACTGACTGACTCTCCCAAAAACTTACGGTACATAAAACCATACTCTGTTAACAGCAGATTTTAATCTCCCAACTGGCTGAAAGACTTGAACACCATCTCACTGGCAAAACCATCAATCAAATGCACAAGCAGCTTTTCTTGGAATAGCTTATATCCTGCAATTATACTTTAACACTGATAGAGAACCTTTGTAGCACAGGTTGGAAATGAGAGGTCCTTGGTGCTCTCTGAACTTGGTTGTTTTCTTGCAGACATTTCATTTTATCAAACAAGTAACATCATCAGCACTAGCAACCAAGCTTAGACAGCACCAAGTATCCCTCACCTTTAACACCATCACATCTGCCTATCCTAGGTCCTTAAGGACTCAATGGGTGGATATAAAAACACCAAACCCAGTCTAAATGCTTGGATGGCTATGCAACCAACCATAATAATAGATTTCTATAGGAAGTATTGTGTGCATGCTACCAATGAATTCTGATATCTAATTTTCAATGTAATAAGTGCCTTAGTGCTGCCTGGGAAAGGGGAGCACAGATACACTGAGTAAAAGTGAGAATGACCTAAATCTAAGCACATTAGTTGCATGTCAGCATGTGCTCATTCAAACCCATTAAAGTTAAGAAGAATTTTGGTGGATACATTCAAATGAATCCCTTTCACAAATATCTTATGACATAATTACTCCGAACTGATGCTCTTTAAACGTAAGCATTTATTTATTAGACTTTTATTCCACCTTTCATCTGAGACTTCAAGAAAATATATATAGCATTTCCTCTTCTTATTTTTTCCCCACAATAACTTTGTGGGTAGGTTGGACCGAGTGTCTGACTGGCCCTAAGTCACCCAGTGAACTTCTGGGGCTAAGAATGCATTAGAATTTGGCCCTGACTGCTCCTAGAACAATACCTTAATCATTACATCACACTGTCTAGACCCACAACTCTTAAATTCTCAGCCAGCAGTCTGGATGAATCCAATATCCTTGGAGGTCATCAGATTGGGAAAGGTTGCTGAAAGCCATGATGGCCATATAAGTCTATCACAATCAGGCTTTCTGTGACTGGTGAGCTAGGCAATACAAAATGGAAATGAATATGAACACGGCTAGTCCAAATTCCACTTTATATAGTCATTTAGAAGAATTCTGCTTATAAACAATCTAGTGTGAAGCCTCCCACTGCCAATCCTATTTGCTAACCAGTTGAAAAAAAGATCCCAAACTAGATATGCAAATAGGTATTCTTTTTTTACAGCAAATAAAAATGAAACATGTGGAAAACTAACTATGGTATGCAAGGACAACACTACCTGGGGTATCAATTATGTTAATATTTGTGCCTTTCCACATGGTGTACGTAGCGGCAGACTGAATAGTGATCCCTCGTTGTCGTTCTAATTCCATGGAATCCATCACAGCACCTATCCCATCTTTCCCCTTTACCTAATAGGAAAGAAAGCAAACCGATATATCTGCATATGCACTGCTGTCCTTTTATATAAAATAGAGCTTTTTAAAGTCACTTAATTTAGCCCTACTTGGATTTTCCAGATAAAAATCTAATACTAAATATAAGAGAAAGGGAAGGAGGTAAGGAGGATATATATTTAAAAAAAATCACAAGAGAATTTTTAAATGATTATTTAAATGTCACAAACTAATGAAGAGTTCATGTCTGTTTTTCAGCTAACAAGAAAATGTGGCACAATGATTATATGAGCTTATCCCAAAAATATGTCACATCTAAATAGGGAGTACATCAATTAAGCCTGAAACCTTCACACATTTATTCATAATGGCCAGATTATTAATAGGGAATGGAAATATAACTCAGGCCACTTCAGATTTTATAGACTGAATTGCACTTGCAAATAAAGTGGTCATTAGTGTTACTATTTCTAGACAGACTAGATAGGTTTGCTTGAAGTTCAGGTGCCCTCAATACTTTTTTTTCCCTGCAAAGTCAATCTTTCAATTCATTCTGATAGATAGATAGATAGATAGATAGATAGATAGATAGATAGATAGATAGATAGATAGATAGATAGATAGATAGATAGATAGATAGATAATCTTTATTGTCATTTTTTTTTACTGTGGGCACAATGGCACACATTAAAAATTAAATTTAGTTGCTTGCTCTCAAAGTGTACACATACATAACACACATTTAAACATAATATATACAACATATGTATAGACCCACACCCTTACAAATAAAGTTGGGCATAAATTTCAATTTAAATGAAGCAAGAATACCCAAAGACAATCAATCCACTTCATTCTCCTATTTTCAGATAGGACTAAACAATTTTTCTATAATATTATAAAACATATTCATTCTCTTTTGGATTTTTAGAATGTTTGCTTTTGTCACTGAATTCAAAACTTTATGTGGGTCCCACTGACATATGAAAGGAGTCTATGTGAACAGCAAGATCAAAATTTGATGCTCATTTTATTTATTTCACAAGCAGCCATCCAAAATGTAATCTGCAAATCACCCCTCTACATTCAGTGAGCAGTCTATCCAATACTGTCTGTTCCCCCATGGTGAACTGCTTCAATTCAACAGCAACTGAAAATGTTCTAACACACAGTACAATATATGTTGATGTCTTGCTTTCAAAAGAAAAAAAGGAATTTGTACTTTTTTCATCCGTTTTCTTATAAATGTATCTGTACGTTTTGAACCCACCTACACTTCAGTTTTAGCTGGTGGACAAGCAGGCTGATAGTCTTCTATAAAATTATCTGGTTAAACAGCTGAACTTACGATTTATTCAATTATGGCAAATCACCCACTGAAGCAGCACAGTACCCCAATATCATATTAATGCTGTCTCCATATCTGACACTTGATAAGAGATCGTGAATGCAATGTTTGGTTTCTGCCAGATATAAAAACATCCCTACTCTCTCAAATTCCACTTCTGATTCATTCGTCCAGAGAAAAATTTAGAGGGTCACAGGTGCTTTCTGAAAAAAGCACCAAACCTCATAAACAATGGCTTTCACACCTACAGTAGGTGTTAGTTTCACCTACCACTTTCAGAAGATGGATACTGACTCTAACCAAGGAGACAGAGACTCCTATGGGGTTCTGACTTCTTGGATAGCCTTATATTATATTCCTAGAATGATTCAGATAGGCAACCATGCTTGGAAAGATTCATTATTGTTCAAAATCTTCCCCATTTAAGACTATAGCCCTGACTCCATTGATAGAGCCCCAGAGCTTTAGATATTATTTATTATCCACCTTTATTAATTTGTTATATTTTTAACAATATAGATTCAACTATTGCCTCCAACATTCCTATATGTTCTGTTTATTTCATGCCCCGTGCATGCATACATTTTACACAGTGTTCCCAAAAGTTGACAATAAAACATAAACAATGAAATTACAGAATAATGCCAAGCCTCCCCATTGTTACCAATGTATTCATAAATACCTCATGCATTTCTGCTATCTTTCCTGTGTAAAATAGAATACGTTCGGTTAATGTAGTCTTTCCTGAATCAATATGTGCAGAAATGCCTATGTTCCGAATTTTTTCATTGGGAAAAATTCCTGAAGAACACCATCTGCAGCTATATAGCATGAGCTGAAAAAAAAAGCATGAGTTGTAACAATAATGCAATATATATATTAAATACAAAATAGGATTCATATACATTTTCAGTGTAATAGCCTATTCAGGGGTTCTGGTATGATAGCACCCACCCCTACCATGAATAAAATTAATGGTTTCATTGGGGTTAGGGTTGGGCAAAAAATTAATATATCATTCATTCATTCATTCATTCAATCAATCAATCAATCAATCAATTTCTATAGCTGCCCATCTCAGTCAATGAATCTGAAAGGCTTACAATTAAAAAAAATCATTATAATTAAAAAATACTAAAAATATTTTAAAACCATAAAAACACTAAAAATATCAAATATACATAAGAGCAAGATGTTTGGCCTGTTAGCAATCCAGCCAGGAATTATTTTGAATAATTATAATCAATGTAAATGTCAAGTAAAAACTTATAAATTTTATACACATTTTTATCATTTTATTCATTGAAAATCAAAAATAAAACAATAAATTTAAAATCTGCATTTCAGTGGGAAAGATGAGATTGCTGAATTTTGTGTTATTACTAACTCTGTATTTTTGAAGACTGCTTCTCTCATTTCTGCCCCCCCCCCCCCATTTCTTCTCTATTAATATTTGCTCTTTGTAGTGGCCACTATGGAAAATCCTGCTGGCTTGTTCAGCCTGAAAAGGAGCATGTTTTGATAGCAACCAAGTTTTGTCTACACAATCTATTTTTTATTTTATTTTTTATTATTTAAATTTATATACCGCCCTATCTCCCTTACGGGACTCAGGGCGGTGAACATGCAATAATAAAAATCACAATAAATATTGAATAAAAAGCCTGCTCTAAAATACCCCATATAAAACCCCTAGCAAAGCCCAATCAAAACTACGCCAGGCCGGCCGCATAGAATAGATGGGTTTTCAAGGCTCGGCGGAAGAGGCGCAGGTCCGTAGTTGTACGTAGGTCGGGGGGTAGGTCATTCCAGAGTGCAGGAGCTGCCACAGAGAAGGCTCTCCCCCTGGGGGTCGTCAGCCGGCATTGACTGGCCAACGGCACCCTAAGGAGGCCCTCTCTGTGGGAGCGGACTGGTCGAAGGAAGATATTTGGTAGCAGGTGGTCTTGCAATCTATCAGGTTATTCATATAAAGAAGGAGCCCTATCTGAACAGACTCCAGGCAAAGCAGGAATAAATCTGGCAATAATTGTGCTTTGTATGCCCAAGTCCCAAAATATTTGTGACCACCTTCAAATTTGCTCACAACATCCTGAAGGGTCTGTAATCCACAGTTTGAGAATTTAGCTTAAGTGTAATAGTTATTTTAGAAAGCATTTGGTAATTTACTGAATTACAAGATGGCTGGTCTCAGTTATAGTATCAATGGATACACCACTGAAAGACCTGAAGATCTTGAAAATGAATTATGAAAAACATCAATGGGGTTGCTAATATTTGACCCCAGCTTGACAGGCAGAGTCAATCAAACAATATACTGTACTGAATTAGAACTTGGTTCCACTGAAATCAATGAGACAAATTAATCATGACTTAGTACAGATATCACATTAGGAACTATGCAGCTGTATCTATTTTTAATAAAACATTTAAGGACCTGTACTGAACAACAGTATTTTGGTTTTGATTTTTTTAACCTGAGTCCTGCTTCAAAGTTGTACCACAAAAAGAAGAGAAATTCTTATATGAGGTAAGAATAACCTGATTTTTACTGGATAAAGCACTTGGATAATATTTAACATAAGCCTAAGAAGGGAACATTTTTAACCACTTTTCAAAATATGAGCTGGGAATATCATTAGATCAAAACAACCTTGTTCCCCAATCAAATGGAGATGACAATGTAGTAGGCAAACATTTACTTATTCAGTATACAAACCCAAGATAGATTAAAAAAGATTTTTTTAGAGAGAAGCAAATTTTCTAGACATCCTAAAACACATATTTGTTTATACATTTAGTAAACAGAAAACAAATTATATTAGAATAGAAAGCAAATTATAAGATTAAGAGAATTTTAATAAAAGAATTAATCCATAATAAAAGCTTTCATGGAATTGTATCCTATTTATTAGATTCATCCAATAATGGGGTTATATACAATGGATAAAAAAAGATTAATCGCCACTATATAGAACAAGAAAAATTCCTGTTGAGCAGCATGTGCTATTAAGAAAATATGACTATTGGCAAAATAGAAATTTGAAATTTAAACTCCCTAATTACAAGTATGATTCTACATTACATTTGGGTAAAAAAAAGGGGTTTTTTTCAGGCACACGAGAGATTTAGATTCATTTTAAAAATCTGAACGTATCATCTCAGCCATTTCAAGCAATACTCTAACAATCATTCCTTACAAATCAAATACTGTGTTGCAAGAATTGTATGTTGCAACATGAACAACAAATGTTAGCAAATAAATATAAAGTAAAATTTAAGTTGCAAGTTCAAAGTTACCCAGTACATTGAAAACAAGTGAATATCATAATTTAAGATCTCAGCTATGAACAATTTTAGAAAGTGAAATGGGAATGGTTAAAAATATTTTATCAAACCAAGTTGCCAACTCATTGGTTAATTTGGAACAATTCTTGCTATAGAATGGGGGAGGGAGACCTTCTAATACTGTATAGCTAGGCCTTTAGAGTTATACATTGTTTTTTTCTTGCTTTAATCTATTAGGCAATATGTAGATCTGCCAAATAACAATAGCATTCCTGAAATATTTGAATACTTTTAAAGGGTGTATCAGAATGGCATATCCTTTATACTAATTTTTATTAATCATGATCAAATGCTGGCTACCTTCTCTGGAATAACTCAAACTGCCTCTTCCTTAATTAAGCTTTCGAAGAAATGTTAAAATAAGACTCCTCCAAAAAGCATTTAGGGATGAAATGGAAGATTATGGATGCTATGATCTATTTTTGTAGGGCCAGGAAGTCTATTGTATTTTAACTGTTCTATGTATTACCTATATAAGGCGATGAGATATTCCTTGTTTGGAATGGCTTATCAAGTGTAGTAAACATAATTTTGAATGACAAGCTGTAAGAAACAATCATCAGCACTAACTGCAATTTTGGGCTTCAGCAACACATTATTTTCTGTGCTGTAGTGTATTTATTTAGCCATGTAAGAATTAATGGCCTATTTCATAAATATTCTCATACTATTTACTTCATCTGGCATGAATAAATGCCAGACTAAATGCCAGAAGTGTTACAAAATCTATATTTTCAATTTTTCTCAGTTTTGTACTTATTTTTTGTTTGTATTCATAATGGAAAAAATGTCCTGAAGAATCCAAAGTGATAACAGAACTTAGCTATAATTTGCTCAGTTAGGTTTCCAAAGTTTATCTTAACGGAATAGCATCATGAATTTTTAGCATTCTGAATTTGCACAACGGTTGGCTAGACTTCATAGGATTTAGAATAATTAAATACAACATGTACGTTTCCATTCAGAATTGATAACTATCTTTTCCGAAAGAAGCACCTTCGCTTAGCTTCTTTAAGCTTAATAAAAGTTTGCTAAAAAGTTAAAACCTTTCAATCAACTTGCAGGAAGCTTTGAAAGCTGATCGCTCACACTTTTTAATGCTCCCCCCCCCATAGAGGTGAAGGAGCTTTAATATTGATCTAGTCCAGGGGTAGGCAACCTTGGCTCTTTTATGACTCGTGGACTTCAACTCCCAGAATTCCTGAGCCAGCCAAGCTGGCTCAGGAATTCTGGGAGTTGAAGTCCACGAGTCATAAAAGAGCCAAGGTTGCCTACCCCTGATCTAGTCTGACCCATCTTGTCTCAAATAACCCATTTCATTTCAAGAGACGTATAGCAGGCTGAACATTACTATAAGTATGCAGCTGTCGGGTTTTTTTTAATCTATCATGCAGCTCCCCGAAGCAAAGAGATTCTGCATTTAATGACAAATCAAGTTACCCCGCGGAGCCTTTTAAAAATTACCCCCAACCAGGGGCAGAAATGTAGGAGCGTCTCTCCTTCCCACTCAACCTGCCGCCTGGCTGAGGCTGCTCTGACCCCGGCTAAGCTCCCCGCTCGTACCTGTTGCCGAGGCAACACCAAACCTAAGAGCCGCCGACACCTCAACATCGTGAAATCCCCACCGCCTCTGCTTCCAAAAGTCACGCCGGGCACGACTCTTACAAGCCCATTTCCGGTCTGAGCCGGGTAAATGCTTCCGGAGCAGGGGAGCGGATCATCGAGTCACCTCGGTAGTTCCCCCGCCCAGGGAGCCAGCTTCTACAGCGCCCCCAACACTTGGGAAGAAAGAAGCGCTTTGAAAAGAGCTGGTCATTTCTGCTATCCCCGACGTCAGGTTGTGCGGAAGAAGGACCGTTTGTGATCTTGGGTGCGCTTCTAAAATAGAGAGCGCGGAGCTGATTTTCTTATTTTAATCCCGAATCTGATTTCAGTATCTCGGGAATCCTGCCTGACAGATGCATCGGCCGAGTTGAGGAAATTTCCTTACAGACCGCCCTTACTAGAGGTCCTCTCGGAACAGACCCATAAATAGACTCGAAATCTTGAGATGCAATGAGCTGCAGCCACTCAATGTTACTTATGCCCTAGTAATTTTGGCTGATCTAAAAACAAGATGAGCAGGAGCAGACCTGGTTAGACCCTGATTGCCATACCTCCAAGTAATCTCCAAGTAATTTTTCCAGTTTGGAAAAAATCACGTTTAAAATGAGTGGCAAGTATGTGTAAAAACTTGTCAGTCTTGGAAAAAAAGTGATGGGAAATTACACCACTGCCAGGAAAACTACTAGACCTCATCCACAAACTCGCAGGAACTGAATTTGACTTGAGTCAGTCCTTGCTTATATATCAAACCACTACTACAACTCCAAGGATCCTGCTACAGTGTTTTATCTACCCAACAACCATGTGCCTGTAATTAAAGTTAAAAGTGGGTGAATAGCCCAAGGTCATCCAGGTGCAACTAACGATACAGTGCAAATGAGCCAGCCACATTGTAAATTCAGAAAATGGGATTAACTCAGCAATCACGCTTGATGATGGATTGAAAGATCATAATTTTAATGAAATTTTCCAAGCATTTCCCATCAATGACTTCATTACAAAACTAGCCATGAGAACTGTATTGAATTAGGAAGAGTTCTGATTTTATTCCAAGGTAATTTTTTTTCTTCTTTAAAATAATGACAAAGACAGTGTGATTTAGAGCCCCGTAGATGTAGACTACGATGTATTTGTTGACTTTGAAATGAAGAAAGTGTTATATTTTGATATTTGAATTCTTTTTAACTTGGGGAGAACAGTGTAGCTAGGCAACATGAGCCAAATATTTTTTTTTCAGGCAGAGAATCATCAGCCACACCAGTCTATGTTTGGAACTTCTAAACTGAGAAAGTGGAATGCCACCAGCACACACACACAACTGATAGAGCTTTTGAGCATCTTTCATATCTAACTGCTGCCAAAGACACAGAAATGTAACTAAAACTTTTGTCAACAGTTTACTCCCTGCTATGCATTAGAATATTTCTCAAGTTAGACAATTTTAAACATTTTCCCCCAAATGACCATACAAATATCTGGCAAGCACTCCTAATATTGGTATACTATTCAGCTAATTGCTTAAAAGGAACTAGTTGATACACTTGTAAAATGAATTGATACTTTTCTTACTGAAATACAGAACCACAAAAATGAAACAAGTGTAGAACATCTGTTGTCTTACAAATATACTTAAGTCTTACTGAGTTCCATAATAACAGCAGGGAAGTATGAAATAAGTGGCAATCTCATTATGTATGTCTCTTGCAATTCTTGGCTTGGCCACAGGATATAAAGTAGTCCTTGACTTAACTACAATTGTGCCCAAAATTTCTGTTGCTAAGGGAAACATTTGCTAAGTGAGCTTTGCCCCACTTTACAACCTTTTTTGCCACAGTTGTTAAGTGAATCACTGCAGTTATTAAGTTAATAACATGGTTGTTAAGTGAATCTGGCTTCCCTACTGACTTTTCTTGTCAGGTCGTAAAAGGTGATTACATGAACCAGGACACTGCAACTGTCATAAATATGAACCAGTTGCCAAGTGTCTGAATTTTGATCATGTGGCCATGTGGATGCTGCAATGGTGTGTGAAAAACAGTCATAAATCACTTTTTTCAGTGCTGCTGTTACTTCAAATCATCACTAAACAGTCTTTAAGGATTACCTTTTTGAGGACTACCTGCACATAATCTTAAAGCCAGTGAATAAAGTGAATAAATCTGTGCTGCAATATTGGATATTCCCCAACCATAGTAAAGATGGCTTATGGCAACAGCTATTACATCTGAAAAGCTAAAAAAAACTTAAATAATTTATTAATATATTTATTATTTTGTTCTTTTTATTTTGTACTCTGGCCAGAGATATTTGAGATTAGAAAGGGTTAACAAGCTTATAATTGCTAGTTTATGGAAGAAAGTAGGTTATAGACTATAATTTCAGCACTACATTATAGCATTTCTTCTGCAACATACACACACATTTTGCTGAACGGCTCTTTATTATCAAAAAAGTGCCAAGTGTTAATGAAGAACTCTCTTATGAAATTTGAAAGATTGATATAAGTTAAAATTGTCAATCTAATATAGCATAGTATTTATTCAGTATGAAGAATGGCATACATATACATACCTAAGTTACATACCTTGAAAGAGCAGAGGTACATATATTTTACTTAGTAAATATTTAATAAGATATCACAATATTAGAACTTTTAACACAGAAGCTCAGATATCAAAACTGTAATGTTTCCCAGTTATCCCTACAGAGCAGCAATATCTAAACTGACAAGCCTTGATAATCAATTAATCAAAATATTCAGGTTTTAATATGACTTTGTATTAAAAGATGTTTTATCAATTTGAATTGCTTAAAATGGGAGGTCTGGGAATCATCACGTTGACAACTACATTCAGTAAATCTGTACTTTTGATTTTTTTTCTACTGCAAAACTCTAAACCTACATGTGCTCAGCCACTTGCATCTCTAGCTTACCCTTCAGCATCATGAAAATGAACTAATTAATCAGTAAACAAACAAAATAATTATGAACAAGAGGAAAATATCTTCAAAAAAAAGGAGAGTGGCACTAAAAACAGTCTTAAAATGCATTGATAATTCAGAAATTCTCCATCACCTGATGTCAGCTGTGCACCTTTTTGCTCCAGTATGGAATATGGAAACTGAAATGAGCTTCAGTTACCACTTTCTCTGCTGAATTCTTGTTTGCCCTATGAACGTTACATTGCTATTGATCTGACCCAATCCTAAAACAACCCTTTTCCAATTATAAATCACTGTTTGTAAAAATTAGTACTTTTTCTATCAAAATAATGATTAGAATGTGGAATTAATTTAGAACAAAATTTTCAATCAAAGCAGAGTAAATGTATTTTTTTTACAAATCGGAATAAATTTGTAATGAGTTGGGTTAATTTTTTTATGCAAAGATGGCAGAATCCCCCTTAGTGAAATGTTTTGTTTTTTGTTTTGTTGTCTATCCAAAATGTAACTAAGTACTGATTCTGTTCATGTATATTGGGAAAACTAATTCTGGGTAGATTTCAGGGATAATAAGAAAATTGACATTATCTTCATTTTGTAATGGCTAATGACTTTGCAGTTCAACTGTAATCTAGACTTTCGAAAGATTGGCCTTTTGCCAAAAGCATACCAGTGCATTTATTTAAAGTCCTTGAAAACTGGTACTATCTTTGTAGTGCTAACTTTGTCCTCATATTAGTTAGAGTAGTTGGTATTAATGAAAATAGCTGTAACATTCCACATTTTCTTTTAAAAAGCCATAAAGTACTTTTCAGTCTCAGTGTTTTTCAATTACTGTTCAGAGCCAACTGTTACCAAGGAGCTGAAATTGACACAAACATTCAGTAGTCAAAGAAAAAAAAGAATCACTAATGCTAGGAATAGAGAGCTTGGTCTTATTTGTTGATCCAGAATTATTGTGTCCTCTCCCAAGACATCCATATTAACATGAAAAGCAACACAATTATTTTCTGCTGGGTTTCAGAGGAACATGTGATCCCTTCACATTGAGTTTTTCAATAGAAGATACAGATCTCCTTGGTCCTTCTACTGCTGTTCTTGGATGCATCTTCTCCCTGAAAAAACAAAGATAACAAAAAGGGAATTCTTGATGTTTATTTTATACAATGTAATATTAGCTAAGCATAGAATATACAGAGAAAAATCTTTAACCATCCAATTGTTGTATCTAGACATTGTTTTTCAGATTTTATGGCTTGCAAAACTAAAGTGCAACGTCCCAACTCAATTTGTGTCACCTGTGATCTAATGAAAATGGAGTCATTCAGATCTGGGGAAAACAAACATGCAGGCAAATAGAACGACACCAATAAAGGAGTGGAGAACTTGTGGTACATAAAATGTTGCTAAAGTCTTAGCAATTACATAGTAAGGGATACCCAGGGCTGTAAAATATCAGGGTTTAGAGAACACGCTTCTTATCCCAATCTTGGGCAAAACTGTTTTCCCATAGATTTTCTGTTTTGATATTTTTCTTTTGTAGGTTTTAACTGAACTAGCCAGCAGACAATTAGTGCCAATATTTTTATATTAGGATGCTTAAGGTTCACAGTAGTTGAATGCATCCTTGAAGTGTATTAATTACGTAACAGAATCCTTACGCACATATGACATCTTAAAGAATTCTGACTCTCTCTCTCTTAAAATAATGAAGGCAAAACAGGAAAGATTATATTGTATACCTCCTTGGAGCATCCTCCTTGCTTACATGATGAATACTTCTATGTTTTGGAGAATCTATATTATGTCTTCCTCCAGAGGGCTTAAATTTCAGAATCTCCTTCTGCCATTGTTCATCAAATCCATGAGCTTCTCCTGGCAAACAATTCCAATATTAAATTATAAATTTATTCATCTGAAGGTGTGCATATATTTGTATGTATATTTTGATGTTTTGTACTAATAAAAACATAATTATCTACAAAAGGCACAACACACCATTTTATACATATGTAGATCTATGCGTCATCTATACAGCACTGACAGTTGATCATCTCACACACACACACACACACACACACACACAGAGAGAGAGAGAGAGAGAGAGAGAGAGAGAGAGAGAGAAGGAAATAGATCCTAACAGAGCTATTTACCTTCATCTAAATTAATGAATTCTTGATTCAATTCTTCATCACCAGTTTTGTTGTTCTTTGCTTTCTGAATTACATGAGCACGATCATGAATGTGATGACCAACAGCCATTTTTTCCAACCCGCTTTCAGAATCTCTAACAGCTTTTCTGATTTCTTTAATCTGAATTAAAGCAAAAACAAACAAAAAAGCTAATAAGAAGAAAATGTCCTATTTAGCTTTCTGGATTTATCCTTTCAAGTAAACTTTTTATAAATCATGAAAATAGTATATGAAACCTAAATTAATCACAGAATAAACATGCCAAGTGCAGAAGGCTACACTATGAGCACATATGTAAAACTTCACTCACTATGCTGTGGAAATTATATTTGCGGGCGGAGGTGGAAGAGAGCAGCTGCAGCAGCAAAAACTACACATAAAACAATTTAGTTGCATGCACAATCATGTCTCTGCATTATGGCCATAACATACATGTTGATTCACAAATAGAAGAAACCAGGCACAAATTCCAGTATTTTAAGGTTTCAACTCTGTTTCATGAGAATGGTTCAAAAACCATCATAACCTCATCTAAATATAGCCAGTGATGGAACTTTTCAGCTACAGAGATAAAAGTGCTCTGCAATTTGCCACATGAAAGGAACACTAACTATCTTGACAATCTTAGCTACTACTTATCAGCATGCCCGTAAGTATATTATTAGAAGCTTTTTGATAAAGAAGTACTAGCTGAGTTCTGGAGAGATTTACTGTGGGCTATTTTCAACAGTTTTATCTTACTTGCATACTACATTTCATGAACTTGACGTTAAGGTTCAAATTCAAGCTTCTTAGCCAAATTAGATGGCAACACCTATGAGCAAAGCAATGAAGGGAATTTTTAAACATTATACTATCACTTTAAAGTCAAGTTTTAATTTCAAACATTTATACTAATTTTTCAATATTTTATGCTATTGCACAATAATACATTTATTATTAGTTAGAAGCACATACCAAATTAGATTAATGCTATTATTAGTTAGGAGAGGATTCCCAAAATATTGTCATACCCCTCCTGGAGCAGTCCGTGTCTGAGCTGAAGCTTGGAAAACTTTTGGCGGTTCGTCACCCTTCTTAGAATAGGTCATCACTGAAGAAGAACTGTATGAGTGAGCATTTGGATCAAGTGCCATTTTATCCTGAAGTTTAGAAACAAGTAAAAACTACAGTTTCAGTACAGAAGGGAACCCAAAATTTAATGGATATTTGCAGTTCTCTATCACAAGGCTATAGATTACACTGGAGGAAACAATCCTGTAAGAATTCTAAGGCAATCCATTTTTCTGTAACTGCCAACATGGATGTGTCTATGCACATCTAACTAAATGTGAGGAATACTTGACTTCATTAATGCTCCACTTAGACAATGAAAAATGAATCTTAGGAAATGCAACCATATCTATAGAACTGACTTAATATCCCAGGCCTGCAAAATGTTCTGAACCATTAGGCCAACTTATCCACTCACTTGGCCAACAGGTTTAATTTAACAGAAGAGCTAACTTGGGAATTGTCACATGCTGGAAATAAGTAAAACTCTACTCTAGTACAATCTGAAAGAAAGCTTTTCAGAACTAATTTCTTGCTTTCTGGCAAACAGTTAAAAGCTAAAATACAAATATGCACCAATCAGTTAGGTGCATTTAAAGACATACCTTCATGGCAGGATAGGCATTTCTATTCATTTTATATGCATCATTTAGCTATATCTAAGGCCAGCACGGGGGGGGAGGGAGATGAAACTGAAGAAAGCACCACATTGCATTATGAAAATGACTCTAGCAGGAAATATAGATAAGCTTTATAGTTCCTTCATTACAGAACACACAGATTGAAATTAAAAACTATCAATTGATAATAATGCACTGCTAACCTCTTTCTCTAAGGCAGCGTTCCCCAACCTTTCCGGCTTGGCGGACCGGTAGAGGAGGCAGTGGCGACAGCGGGGGGAATGGTTGTGTGTGTATATGCACTCTCACCCCTTCCACAGCTTGGTTTAGAAAGGGCTGAGGCCCAGCACTGGAGGCTGGGGACCCCTACTCTAAGGAAATCTATTTTTCCCTATTATTTTAATGAACAATATTCATGAAAAAATTAACATAAAAACTTAACAACTTACAAAATTTCTTTGCAAATCCACCATACCATTTCTCATGTTTGACATCATTCTGTCCATTGCAAAGAATGGATTTCTGAAATTCATGTTCTGCTTCAACAGAGAGGAAGAAATAGAAACAATAAAATGCTTCAAAACTCAGAACTTTTATTACAATTCATTCATGTACACATGGAGAGGAGCTTACTTTTGCAGACTACATCAAAAGATAGGGCAAAAATATAGCAATTATGAGGAACAGTTAAACAAAATAGAAAATCAGGGTATTGTTGGGCTTTTATGAAACACTTCTCTTTTGCTATTATACTCTTCTAAATTCAAAGTGTAGTCACACAAGACAAACCACCGGGAATTTCTCTAAGCTAATACAAGGTTGTGTGTAAGAATAGATTGCCAGAATATATTAAGCCACATCTTCTAAAGTGTCACTTCCAAGTTTTGTCAGGTGAAATTCCAAACTGTGGGACAGCCAACATCACATCTAGTTTGGCCCTTAGTCAAATATGTTCTTAGAGAAGATTGTTGGATCAGGCATACAAATGCATATCTATACAGGTATCAGAAAGGCTTTTCTTATTAACTCAGTAAAATTTAATCAAAATACAATTTCATAGATTCTTAACTCATTTCCAGCTATTAAGCTTTCAGTGAAGTAACAATTTATCACAACAATAATTATTTCACAAACATATGAAAAAACAAGTTTATACCATTAGGTGAATTGAAATATCACTATAATCTGTCTTACCAAAAGGAAAATTTAGAATACAGTGGCAAAGCCTTGTTTCTGTCTTATCACTGCTGATTATGCTTGTTACTATCAAGCTAAAGAACACAAAATGAAATATTCACTAGGCTATAATTAACCATATGCGGAACAAATGTTCCTTTTTGTGTGGATAAACTTGAATAACTACACCTGGGTCAATTTGTGAGCTGATTAATCAATCCATAACCAGTATGCAATTTAGGAATACAATTATACTGGAAAGAAAATACAGACTAATGAAAGAGCATAACACTTGTTTGACACACGGTTGTCTCGGTTCCATCATCTAAAATGGAAATGCAGTAACCATGACTTCTGTTTACACTGCTATCACTTATTACTAACATTCCAGCCAAAGCATTAACACCTTTACAGACCACAGGGAATGCTACAGAAACAGGCAAAATGTTATAGGAATCCCAGTAAACTCACTGAAAATATTAGCATGTAAAATGTATGGCCACATACAAAATGAAACAAGCAAGAAAGCAAGAATGGAGAAAACTGCATGAAACCAAAGAACATCCAACTCATTGAAATATCTGGCATGCGCACTCTCAATCTTTCTCTCTTCCTCTCACTCTCTCTCTTTCTATATTTTCCCCAGTGCTAGAGTGTCACAGAATCTGGAAGTTCTCAAAATTGGATGAGAGGAAGTAAGAGAAGGTAACAAAGGGTTGAAAATTAAAAACCAGGACTACAGCATTTGTGCCATTTTTAAAAGTTTGATTAGAACAAAAGTGGTGTCTCCCATTCCTAATACAGGTTGGCCGAATTATTCCAGTATCTCGGAAGAAATGTTACAAAGTAAAAATATAAAAACAGTAATTTTGATTTATAACTGACTTCCCAACTTTCATTAGGCAATAAAAGTCTCTATCTTTTAAATTATCATCCACAATTATGAAAGTTAAGCAATATTTAGGAATCCACTGATGGAATTACGTCTAATGATGTCTCGCTGACAGCAGAATGGTTTTGCTGACACAATAGACTGGCCCTTCTTCTAAACCTGCTCTGAAATTTGAGAAACTTTAGTATAGCTAGAGAGAAAATCCAATTAATGAACAAAGCATTAATTCTTTCATAATGTTAGTTGTGATTAAGTGCTATATTTCTTGTATTCCCAATTAGCAAGCCGCATAGGATACTACATAAAGGTCATATAATAATTTCTATATGAATGGTACGCCCAAGTAAAAACAGTGATAGAAACTGAAGCGAAATGTTTTTATTGGAAAAAGAATTAAGAATTAAAGATGGAAGCAAAAGACCATATTCAAAAGATCTCTTGGCCATATTTAGTTAGATTTCCCCCAGTCTCTATTAAAAAGTATAGGCTAATATACACTGCATATGGTAGATTATGGAAGAAGAAATTAATATTTTGATATTCTTTAGTGGAGAAAAAACAAGCCAATATGCTGTTTTTCACTGAAAAAAGATCAAAATATTTAAAGAAAGAAACTACAGTAATATATATGCCAGAAATAGTCACAGCAATTAGAGTATTGTATAGGAAATGCAGGAGAACTTTGCAGATTTTCACTGCTTTTTTTCGAACAATATAAGTCCTATTGGACTCCATGCTAAAAGCCACTAAACAGGTCCAAAAGAAAAAGGCACAAAGATCTTTCTCATCAGTTAATATACTTCAAACACCATCATGGTATATAGCATCTTTCACACATTCCTTATAATGGTCTTGAACAGAAAAAATTGGGGCTTACTTTGATTCAAAAAGGACAAATAAAAGCATATTTTCCCTGCAGCAAACATGCTTGCTTGAATTGTTTTGTTACAAAAGAGCCAAAATATGTCCAAAGAGCCCATGACCTCAATATAACTGACCCCAGCTTTAATTGCTACCTGCTCAGTATATATTATTTGTTTTACATTTGTTGAAATAATTTAGGAAGGTATGGCTTAATGACACAAATAACTATATTATGAATATATTAATAATATATATAATCTCACTATATAATATAAATACAAAAAAAGTAATTGGAAATTGAGTTTTTATTCCTATCATAGCTTTATTATATATAAAAGGAAAATAAAAGACAATAAAAGAGATGCCTTTGGGAATTATAGCATGATTAATCTCCAATTATACTTATTAGGTATTTTAACAATGATTTCCCCAAAAGGAAAAAAAAACACACAAAAACAGTTTCACAAAATGAAACAAGTATGCTAAAATGCACTTATAAAGCAAAATGCAAGATGCTTAGTTTTGGAGCAAGTGAAACAGATAAATCCACATCACCAAAAAAAATGAATATGTGTGTGCAATATACTAACCATGCCACCAAAACAGTCAAAAGGCATAAGCGGAAAACTCATGGCCTAAAAGAGAAATTGTAGATCGTATAAATTGCAGCATTAATATTACGACCTTAAAATATGACTGGGAGTGCATCTGGACTCAACTTTCTTGAAATCTGCTACTATTAGCAAAGTAAGAAGCCTGCATATTTTCTATCACCAATTTTACTTCCTATTTTTTCCTTCAACATCTTCACTGTATTTTTTAAAAACCCAAAACTTTTATATTATTAAGCTGGATAAGAATCTTGCATAGTCCCCATTTCTATCATCCTGCACTGTATCTTTTTTTTTTTTTACTGAAACCTTAACATTCCTGTCCACATTTTTTTTTAAAAAAATCACCTATTCACTTCAAATATTCATAAATTTCCACCTACAGTTATATTTTAGTATAAACTAAATTTAAACTTGTTCACTACTTCATTATCCCAATGCACTCCATGAAGTTTTCTTAAGATCCCTTGGGAAAAAAGAGAGAAGACTAGCACAACTGGAACTGTACATATCCTATTTTTGATATATATAGCATTTTTTAAAAGTAGTCATTCAGCAAAGAGAAGAAAATATATGTAATGAAAAATAAGATAAATTTAAGGCTTATTTCTGGATAAAAAGCCAAAAAAAAACCCTAAAATGAAAAATAACAAGAATGCTAATGCACATATCACCAAATCTTAGTAATCTTTGTCATTAGTATACTGACCATGCCACCAAAAGTGCCAAAAGGTATAAATGGAAAACTTGATCCCTGAAAAAGAAGCACCATTTCATTTAAAATTGTTGCACTAGTATGGTTTAGAAATAGTTATGGTTTAGAAAATTAAAAGGAAAAAAGGCATGCTCAGATTAAATTCATGTTGTATTTGTATACTAACCATGCCACCAAAACTGTTAAAAGGCATAAGGGAACAGCTCATCGCCTGTAAAAAAAAATCAACTTATGTAAATTGCTGCAATATTACTGTTGGTGAAGGATACACATTTCGTAGATTAAAATCAAGAAACTCTCCAAATCAATCTTAAACATGAAAAACGCAAGGGCAAATCGTTCATCCATGCAACTTCTTTAAATAAAAGGGCCAATAGGGAACAATTTAACAACTGGGATAGGAAAATTATGAATCCATTACTGTTTTATGGCATATGGTTACATGGTAACTTCAGAGAACCCTGGATGAAGCGGATTATCTAGATCTGTTTCAATTGGGGTTCAGATCAGGGTTTGGGACTGAGATGGTGGGATGGTTCTTCTTGACCTCTCAGTAGCATTTGATACCATTGATCAAATGTTTTCTGGGCCATCTCTGGGAATTGGGGGCAGGCAATGTTTGTGCTGGCTCTCCAGGACCAGTTCTACTCAGTGTTGACAGAATGAAAGAGATCTAGCCTGTGGTCCCTACTTGTGAGATGCCTCAGTGCTCTGATCTTTCTCTCATTCTATTCAACATTTACATAAGGCTGCTTGGTGAGGTTATTCATTGGTTCGGGGTGAGATATCATCTATGCAGATAACACCCAGCTTTATAGCTCTACCCCAAGTTGAATGATGCCATGGACACCCTATTCCAGTGTATGGAGGCTATTGGGGACTGGATGGGATGAAATGGGCTTCAATTCAACCCTAGCAAGATAGAGTGGCTGTGGGTATTTGGACACACTCCCCCCAGACAAGGTTCTTCCATCTCTGGTTCTGGATGGGGTTGAGCTATCCCAGACAGACCCGGTGCATAATCTGGGGGTCCTCCTGGACTTGTGGCTCCTGCTTGAAGACAGGTGGCAGATATGGTTAGGAGGGCTTTTGCACACCTTCGGATGATGCACCAGTTGTGCCCATACCTGGACTGGAAGACCCTGTTCACAGTAACTCACGCCCTTGTAATCTCCAAGTTAAACTACAGTAACATGCTTTACCTAGCGCTATCCCAAAGACCATTCAGAAACTCCAACTGGTGCAGGATGCAACTGCATGAGTAATAAATCGTGCCAGATACACTGGTACTGATGTGTTTCTTGGTGCAATTCAAAGTGCTTTTAAAGCCCAGTATGGCTTGTGTCCAGGGTACCTGAGGGATCACGTTTTTTCAAGAGTCTCTATCCATCCAACCAGGTTGAGCAGAATGGATATGATGGATATCCTGTCAGCCAAAGAATGTTGACTGGTGGAGACCAGAAGCTGAGGTTTTTCTGCAGTAGCCCCTGCTCTATGGAACATCCTCCCTTCAAAGATCCGGATGGGTCCAACTCCGTTAGCCCTTTGTAAGGCCCTAAAAACCTGGCTATGTTCCTGGGCTTGGATGCTGAAATGTGTCACTGGCCCAGTTTATTGGCTATATTGCTAACCCACCAAGTATCCTGCTCCTATGTATATTTAATTTGGATATTTTTAGTGTTTTTATTGGTTTCACTGTTTTTATTGAGTTAAAATATTTTAAATACTTTTGTATGAATTGTAAGCCACCCAGAGTTGGGTGACCATAGAAATTGAACAAACAAATAAATAGATAAATTTCCAGCCTTCTTATAACCCAGGGACCAAGTTTCATTTTTGTTTTCATCTGAATTCTGTCACTCTGGGACAGAACAACTCCTGAGGCATTCATGAAGGCAGTCTGTTATGTCCCAGATGAGAAGGCAGGGAAAGTTATCACCTCTCTTCAATGTGTTTCTTTTCAAACTATAGTTACAACTTGCACTCCACTTTCACCTGGTATGAACAAACATTGCAGCTTCTGCCACATCTAATCTGAAACTGAAATAGACATGCTTAATGAATGATTATACTTTAAGCATCTAAACCTATCTTAAAAAAACTTTTAACTACCTTTGAAGTATCAAGTTAAGCACTTTATACATCACTCATGTTTCCAAATATTCAATTCCATGTAGATTCAGTGGAGATTAGCCAGTTCAAAAAGGAACTTTGAATACATCAACATACTTGCTCCTCTTCAAGACATAAATTTTAATTAATAAATTATAGTGAGCTGAGAAAAACTGCAGATCATAACAATTAAAATAAGGGAAATAGTCTGCATGCAAACAAATTATGTTGTAAGATCAAAGATTATGCAAAATACTAAAATAGTCATAGAATCCTAGCAATGTCAGCAGATTTAAAGGTCATTGAAAAGGCATACTGAGTAAATCTGTCACAATATACAGAATACTTTGGCTTATAAAGTCACCGTGAATAAGTTACTTGCCAGAACACATATAAATAGATGAGGCTATAAATACTACTGAATGGAGGTACTGTACTTTCAGAACACAGAAAACAGACTTAACTATGTCTGGATGGCAAAACTGTCAGTTATGCTAAATGACTGGAGAGTCTGAGGCTTCAGAAGTTAGAAGGAGTTGTGGAAAATTGGATAGAGATAGCTCAGCCAATCTTCAGTTTGAAGCAACATATATTATGTAAGGAGAATGCTATTTGCCACTTAGAGTTGTACAACTGAAACAGTCTACAAATCCTTCAAAAAATAAATTAGCAGTACACCAGAATGCCCAGAAGCATGGGTGAAGGAGATAGTTATACTAAAGCATCACATGAAAATCATGTTTGTACTAGTCATTCTGCATGTATTCAGCACATTCACAGTACTTTATACAATGCACTAACAAGATCCCTGTTCACAAGTAGAATCACTCAACAATTCTATTCATGTATACAGTAGCTTATTCTTTCTGTCTCATGACTCATTTATCTCCTCCTCTTCCCTTACAAAGCCTACACTTCTTAAGTCTATGTACTTTCATGTTATATTCTCCTCATCCCATATACAAAAAATCTCACTTTATTCAGCACAACTAACTTCTACAATTAAAATTTGAAGCAAATACGAATTTTAGTCATACAATTGAAAAATTTTCCTTATACACAATCAAACTTGAGAATTTACATGGCGCATGTACTGAGGCATAGGCATAACTCCAGAGTAGGTACCTATAAAATGTTGGGGTATCTTAGTTTTCTATTAATACATGGGCTAGGACAGGGCTGGCTGAAGAATTCTGGGAGTTGAAGTCCACAAGTCATAAAAGGGCCAAGTTTGAAGACCCTTGGGCTAGGAACTAAACAGTGGCAATAATCTGCTGTCAAAGCATAAGCAGTTTCCAGCAACTCTAATGATAGCTAAAAGAACATATGAATTCCAAAATGTCTGAAGGCAATTAAATTGCCAACTCCAATGTATACTTTTTGGGAGAATATTAATATCCAATTTCTTAATGAAATAGTATTTTTAACACTATTGTGATTAAGGCCAATGAGGATATTACTACAACAAATATGGGGAAAGGATTTTTCCATTGTCTAGGACAACTCACCGCAGTCAACTACTGCTACTGCCAAGTTGCCTCTGCCAACTCATAGCAGCCAAGTTGCCACAGGACAAATCCATATGGACAACTCACTTCAGGGACAACTCACCACAGGCGGCCAAGGAGAGAGTCAAGTGGGTGGGTGAGCAAGCAGGTGGGCAGAGCAGAGCCTGCCGGGGAGGGCGGCAATGCTGGAGGCTTCCCATTTTCACACCTCCCACCACCACTGCCGTGCCGGTGTGGCTCTGAGCCTGGCACTGATTGGCACCTGGATCAGCATCTGCACCAGGCTCGGAGCCACCGCCACCACACCGGGCATGGAACTCAGTGTGGCGGCAGTGGTGGAGGGGTCTGAAAATGTTGAGCTGATTTAAGGACAAAAAATGTAGCAAACCAAATAAATCCACAAAAGCACCATAATCCTTGGGAACAGCACAGTCTTCCTTTGTTCAAAAATGGAGGAAAACAAAAGAATTAATTGTATAGCAACCTAGAACACTGTAATTTTCTAGTGAAATGAATGCAGTAATACAAAGACTGCAAACGCAAAGCAATAGTAGATTTAGATCCTATGAGGAATTCTACTTCCTATAACAGATAATCCTTTGGCTACATAATGGCTGCATAATCCTATCTATCATTCAGCTTCTGAATAACTATATACCTCAAACACGCTTAGATATTGTATCTCCTCCCTTAGTTCCTGAGAAAGAATAGCATTCTTAATATAGCCACATTCATGTTTGCGTTCTGTAATAATTTTATGAAAGGTTGAGATGCTCTTCAGTGCCCTTATCATAACACAAAATATCACAAAAATTAAGCCCACATGAATTTGTTTAGGAGCATTAATAGATAGATAGATAGATAGATAGATAGATAATTTAATTTGTATACCGCCCTTCTCCCATAGGACTCAGGGCGGTTCACAGCATATTAAAAACAAATAATATACACACAATACAAAAAATGCAAAATACAAAAATACAGAAATACAAATCTATATGTATAGTAGTCAAAATGCGAAGATACTTAAAACAAATGACATGCATTTTAAAAGTAGTAAGATAAATACTCCACTAATCATTCCCATAGAATCTATAGGGATATGCGTAAAATAATGTCTTTCTTATGCTAGCTCTATGATCTATGATATTGTAGCTAGGAATTTGGGTGGAACATTCTGAGCAGGGTCACTTTCTCCACATTGTTGTGTCCCTGCACATCTCCCAATCTTCCTGTATCTTTCTTCTATCCCTTAGCTTCCTTTAGCCATACATATTTCCTCCATCAATGACTTTCCTTTTTTTCCTATTCTTCCCACCTTGGAACACCTGGGCCCAGAAAATGTATGTTTTGGGTCTCAGTCCAGACAAGCATGCATGTTACAGTTTAGGCAAGATGGTCCAAAACTGCCTGTTTCCATGCTGGTGACAGTTTGGCCTACTTTGCCAATTCCCCCAAATCTTAAACTAACATAATATTTATAGGAACATGCTATCAAGACTTTTATAACATGTTTTGAGCTGATGTAATGATAATTGATGTATACTTTTTTAAAGCCTTACCAAAATTAAGTTTAATTATAGAGGAAACTGAGTTGACTTTTCAAAACATATAAAGTAAGTGTGTGTCATTTCCAACTGAAAAGGCAGGTAAAGAAATGTTACAATGATAACATGTACCAACAATATTCTATCTCAATTAAAGATCTGTGAGATTTTTCTTTCTGGATACTGAGCAAAATCCAATTTGGTAACGTTAATACTCATACACATCTTGGGCTTTGACTCAACACACTCCTCTTGCTTCTCTGCACTTTTCTCCATTCCTCAAATCTCCTCCAGAGGTTGGAGCATCCCTCTGGAATAGACCTTTGAAGAGGAGCACATGGTTTCAGGAAGAAGTTGCCTCTCTGCTAAACTGATCAAAGTCAATCTGTCAGCAGATAGGATTAATCAGAAATAACTCATAGAAGCAACTCTGTGCTCCTAGCAACTGAGTTACAGTCAAGAGCTGTACTAAGAGCAATTCAATATGGATGTTATTATTGTATTGTCTTAGTGAGATTAAAATCCTTTAACACAGGGGTGTCAAACTGCTGGCCCATGGGCCGGATGCGTCACATGGAAGCTGCGCCCACCCCATTGCCAGCAATGGCAAAACCATCCCGATACATTGCGCGACGTCACATGATGTCACAACTTTGACATGTCTGCTCTAACAGATCCACAGAAAAGGTGAACTTTACTACTAAATAATTTCTGTTTCATTCATTCCCCAGAGAGTGATGCATATGTAATAATATTATCTATGTGTATGCCAGCAAAGACATTTGGATTTTTCTTATTGTCATTTAATGACAACCAAGAGCCAGACATTTATATTCATTTATAGATCGTTTTATAGTATTACAGTATTTTCTGGAATTAAACAGATATTTAACATTATATAAAGAAACAAAGTTGGAGAAGCATCACATGTATTTTATTTACTTTTCTTACAGGTACACAATCCCATAATTATAATTAGAACAAGACAGCAAAAGGCCAAAGGCATAGTGATCTTTCTATATCTAGGAAAAAAGGAGTAACTCTAGCTAATGGGGTACTTCTATTTCAAAGGATGTCCCTAAGTACAAATGTAAGAATAAAAAAAAATCTGGCAGTTACCCTTCTGACTTACAAGTGACAGTTTCTGCTGCTGTAAACTATATCAGTTTCCAGTGCATAGATTACAGAACTTGGCACTGTCCTTCAACCCCTGTAGTATTAAACTAGAACATAAATCCCAAAGATTCAGTTATCTCACTTCATGAGAAAAGAAAATGATTCAGCATTAGAATAATTGTTTAAATAAATGTAGTCCTTCAGAACTAAAAATAATGTAAGAGTTTTGTAATCTCCATATTCTCCACCAAAACACAATTTTTCCCTCTACAGGAGTAGTAAAGTTGAATTTGACATTATCTGAAAGAAGACATACCTTGTCATTGTCTCTCAAAGCCATCTGAGAATTGGGATGTCCTCTGTGATGTAGACCTCCTTGTCTATCTTCAATTGAAAGAAATGGATCTCGCCCAAAAGGTTCAGAAAATGCATGTCGTACGTGTTCATTATGGGCAGTAAATGAATCCCTGAAAATAAAATAGGATTGCTAGAGGACAGAATATCTATCTCTGCATTAGAGAACAGGCGAAGTTCTCAAATACAACATATAACAAAAGCCACTACTTACAGAGAATTTACATAGTTTTCACTGATCGCATTGTTTTTCAAAGTTAACTGATGCATTTTACATTATGATACCCAAGAAAGATTAAAAGATAGAACATTTAAAACAAGCAAATCAGTAAAACAGGGAGGGTGCATGATCTGAATATCCACTGTAGTAGGTTCATTCAATCCCAAAGACAGAAGATTTGACTTACTGTCAAGGTCAATAGAATGAAAGGTATACCTGAGTATATTTTCCTTGCAATATACTAATACCATACAAGTTACATCAATGTATTCCAATATGTTATTTAAATATAATTGAAGTGCAGAACATTGTTTTCACTGTGGCACTTATACATATATTAGAAACAGCTGCCATTTTGTTATGTTAATTTTATATTATAGTGTTTTCTATAAAAGATTTATTAGAACATTAGTTTGGTACAACATACTGCCCCGATAAGTGAACTATACAAAAATAGTTTCACATGGCAGCCTTTTGCAAAAGGGAAATTGCTTCTGCACCTGTCTACACTATTCAGGAAAAAAGTTGGCAGGACCAGAAAAGAGTCTGAGATCTAGTAAAGCTTCCCAGGAACAGCTGTGTAATCAAGGAGACATTTATAAAACCAATTTTATCCTAGACAGTATTGCTGGACTGTCAATTCCAGTTCTCTCCTTGTGAGGCAAAGGAAGCTTTTACATTAGTTTACCATTTTAGAAGTTACTCCCATAGCGAAGTAGTGCTAGCAATTTGCATGATCTACAGAATACAAAATAGTACTTCCCCAAAAATGAGAATTAGTATTTAGTTTCTATTTTAAACACTTTCTAAGCAAGAAAACTGACAGTCTTTATGACTAACATCATGCAAACCGTACTATATTTTGTTTTTGTTGTTGTTGTTTTAAAAAAAGTATATACCCACTACTACCTATTATAACAATATCTAAATCTTGGGTTACTTTTAACCAAATTTCAAGCAAATTCATTTACAGGAACATAAACACTTGCTTTGCTTCTCCACTCCATGCTTTTATTTTTCCCAAAATGCTCTAGGGAGTGCTTGCTATGCATTTTTAAACTCAAAGTAAATAAGGACAAGAATGGAATTATAATTATACTACAAGAAAACCAGATGTAGTATAAGTAGAGGTTTAGAACTTTGGGGACACAATCCAGAAGGGCTACTCTAGTATGGTAGAGAAAATAAATCTAACAAACAAAATGGAGGTTGTAACCCTTTCCTCTTGTTCTTTAGATGTGATCAGGGTCAAACTCAGTTTATTGCTGCCTAATCCTGTCAGACCCAAATTGAACCTTCCTGCCCCCAGATAAAGCTCCCTGAACCAAAGAATAGAAGCCTTCTCATCAGCTCACAGTGTAGCCCATACAAGGGAATTGCAACATAAAGAAACCCCAATGTTTTATCCCCAATCATATTCCACCCCCTTCTATAAGGAGGGATGCTGCTCTTTTGAAAGGTCATTTTATCTAACAATTGAACTCACCCCAAGTAAACTGACAAGGGCCTGACTAGTTTGCCCAAACTGGCTAGCAAATCAGATTCCTAGGATTTCAAACCTCAAACTGCTATGAAAACCTTTGCTTCTCCATTGTTTGGGATTCCTATCTCTTTTAAAGGAGGTGCGCAATGATAGTTCCAATAAAAATGGTTCTTCTCCTCCTCCTCAGTGTTGTGCTCCTTATTCACAATGAATCCACCACAATAGGCTTAATTCAATATTGTGTATGAAGGCATCCATTTGTCCAGTGGAATTTCCCTCTCTTCTCCTTTATACGTTTTCCATGGCCTGTTGGAACTGAGTTCAGTAGATTCTCCAACTTTTGGAGCAGATTTTTAAGGTGCATGGAGAACCGCAAGAATTACAGGAAATCACCCTCCTTTTCAATATCACTGGACAAAGGGATTTGATCAGCACTATGGATTAACCCAGGGGTAGGCAACCTTGGCTCTTTTATGACTCGTGGACTTCAGCTCCCAGAATTCCTGAGCCAGCCATGCTGGCTCAGGAATTCTGGGAGTTGAAGTCCACGAGTCATAAAAGAGCCAAGGTTGCCTACCCGTGGATTAACCCAACGACCTACATTTCTTTAATATGGAATCACCTGTGCTTTGGCTCATTTTCAGCCTACTAATCTTTTTAAAGAGTCAAGTTACTTTCTGACTTCCACATGTTGGCTAAACAAAATTTTGTTTCAAAAGAAAACTAAATGCCAAGGAAACAGCCTGTCTGGGCATGCAAGTCTCTGGATTAATGCCACTGATTTTATTACATTAGAAGTTGGCAACAAAACTGACATAAAGTCTTAACACCCTGTCAGAGCCACCAAAACAGCTGCTGACACCGAATAAAATTGCTCTCTGGTTTCAAAAGTTGTATAACTACTATATAATTGTAGCTTACATATAATCTGTAAGTAATGTACAATTGTGCCCTAAGCAGAGAAATTACAGTACTGCAAAATTAGTAGCCAAACAATACTGCTTCTAGGGAAAAGTTAGAAATGAGCCAGATTAATATTCAAGTCTGATTTTGGTATAGATGTTAAGTTAATCCACAAAATTGTGTGTGTGTATGCATGTATGTATTATTTCTCTGATATACACAACAACTCAATTCATCATAACTTTTGGCAGCTTACAAAAGAACAATAAAAATACAATGGTACAAAACCTAAAAAAAAGAGAGAGACTCTGGAGATACTAGTCAAACAAAACAAAACCACCACTTAAAGTCAGCATCTACTCTAATCCAAGATCTGGGGGAATAGCTGGTCTTGAAGGTATAATGAAAAAGATCAAGGTTGGGAGGGGGGGTGTCATAAGGATGTCAGGGGAATGTTGTTCCAAAGAGTAGGTATTAGGACAGAGAAGGCCCAATTTTTGAGTTCCACAAATGACACTGATCAATGGGACTCAGAGCAGGACAACTGCAGGAAACTACAGTGGACAGGCAATTTCTCAAATAACTAGAAACTATTTTCTGACTGAGTACCCAGCTAAATCAAAAATGGCATCTGAAAATTATCTTTGACTAAAGCAGGTCATACAGATAAAAAGTTTCATCACCATACAATTCCAAGTATAGTAAAAGTCCTCAGGACTGTTTATAAATAACCCATTTAAGAATATTTGTAAACAATTAGTAACCTGTACTCAGAAATACAGCAACAGATTTTCATTAATGCTACGATTTGTTGTGAAAGCAAAAAGCTTACATGAACACAAATTATTGGAATCTAGTTTTGAACAGATTTAAATGCAATTTAGATATTAAAATATTACTTTTATACCCTGATACTAAACAAAGTCTCATTAAAGTTTCTAACGGGGTTCAGACTTACAGTAGGTCTGTATATAGTAAGCATTTAGCAGAATATAACACTGCAGAACTTCAGAAACACTCACATTGGCTAACTCTCTATTAAGAGTCAGTGTTTATTGTTACAGGGTAAAAATTAAAAGTCTGGGCTAAAAACAGATCATCCAACATATATGAAAAAGCAGCAAAAATAATGAATTATTTTATCAAAAGCAGTTATTTTAAGGTATAACAAAAACCTTGCCTCTTTTTTGCACAACATATGAGAATTCAGTTTTATCTTTGAATTTTCAGAATGTATTAACCAAAATCTAAGCCACAAGGGGCTTTTTTAAAATAAATGTTTGTATCGGTATTTGTCTATCAATATTTCCAAAACAGATTTAATATGAATGAAACCAAAATCTTGGAAGCAAATGTAAGCCACTGTCTATAAAAATGCCATTTTTCACCTTCAAAAGACCTACAGTGAACACCTTTTATTTTGGCAGTGTTTCAGAACATTGCTCACCAAAATATAAGCTGGAAACCTAAATGTGAGAGCAAAACATCTGCAAGGGAACTGCAACATGCTGCAGCAAGAGCAGCTTTCTCTCATTCCATATAAGACGGTCACTGGCAGTTTCATAATGCTGGGAAGGTTGCAGAAGAGCAAACCAAATTACATTCTACACACAATAATATGTAAATAAGCACTATGTACCTCAGAGATGCTTACTTCAAAACAGACATAAGGAGGCATCTAAAAAGTTAATAGACTCTTCATTGCCTAAAGCTCTTTCTGACTTTCACCAAAGGTGCAAAAAGTATGCTTTGCACTTGGCCTACCATCATTCAATTTGCAACCTCGTGGGATCCTGAGGAATTTGGCCCAGAGTTTTGCTTGCCTTGGAGGGTCAGCAGTGGGATTTTAAAACCCAAAATGTCTACCTTAAACACAGAGGCTTCAAATACCCATTTCAGCCTATGTAAATTCCAGCATCCTCCAAAACTGAACCAAAATCTCTGTGGAGATTTTCAGTCATCCAGGTCATAGTTGTCTCAAAGGTGCTTTTTGAAAAGAAACTGCATTGTTTTTTCCTTGAGGAGGAGGAAGAAGAAGAAAATGTTTTGATTCTCATCCAAGAAGCTTCATCAGTTCTGATGGTGGGAAACAGAACAAAAACCACTTTGAATTCTAATCCTCTCCATTTTGGGAGTAGGCCTATGGACCAAGGGAAACGTCCGCCTTTTGCTAGTATACCTTTATCTGCAAGTGCACGCACAAATAAATAGGCGATGCACTCTGAAGCCCAAAAAGCACCTTCACTTAAAGGGAGACGGGGGGTGACCTGATAGCAGTATTCCAGTATTTGAGGGTCTGCCCCAAAGATGAGGGAGGTCAACTTATTTTCCAAAGCACCAGAAGGCAGGACAAGAAACAATGGATGAAAACTAATCAAGGAAAAAAGCAACCTGGAATTAAGGAGAAACTTCCTAACAGTGAGGACAGTTTAACCAGAGGAACGGCTTGCCTTCAGAAGGTGTCGTGTGCTTCAACACTGGAGGTTTTTAAGAAGAGACTGGACAGCCACCTGTCTGAAATGGTATAGGGTCCCCTGCTTGTGCAAGGGGTCGTTCCCTAGAAGATCTCCAAGGTCCTTTCCAGCTCTACTCTATTCTATTCAGATCCTGCTAGCACAGTGTTTCTCAACCTTGACAATTTTAAGGAATTCTGGGAGTTGAAGTCCACATGCCTTAAAATTGTCAAGGTTGAGAAACACTGTGCTAGCATGATCATGCAGGCACACGAGTATTAATAATAATAATAATAATAATAATAATAATAATAATAATAATAATAGTAAAGTTGGAAGGGACCTTGAAGGTCATCTAGTCCAACCCCCTGCTCAGGCAGGAAACCCTAACTTGGGGCATCAGGGGCAAAGCGGCTGCAGTTTCGCTGGCGCATTGAGCAAGGCGGTCCCTCCTCCTCCTCCTCCTCCTCCTCCACGGCCGCCCTGCAAGCCCATCCTCCGCACGCCGCATCCCAGATACACGGATACATAGGTCGACGGCGCCTGGCTCTCAAAAGACCAGGAGGGAGGCCCGGCCTCTTTGTACACCCAGACCGCTACGGCTCCCCCCCGCATCCGCTGAAACCCGAACGGCTTCGTTCGGAGAAATTATCCGCCGCTGACCTCCGCGGCCCGCCTTCCCCGCTCTCAGCCGCGGCTCAACCCACCGAAAGAAGGGGTCGTCTTCGAAGACCCTGGAGAGCCCGAACATGATTGCTGCTCCGGAGACGCCTGCCCTCCTCCTTCCGCCTTCAGCGCCGCCTGAACGCCCGATCTTTCCGTTGGGGCCGCCAGACGACGAGCTCTAGAAACGAACCTCCTGCCCGCTCTCGCCCCGCCCCCTTCTCCTTGGAATCCCCGCCTCCCCTTTCCCATTGGCTCCGGCGAGCACGCAGTATGGCGACGGACGATAATAGAACAGAGCTGCTGCTGCTGCTGCTGCTGCCATGGCAACTGGCTCCAAGGCAATACCGCCGGCTTGGATGGGCTTTTGGGGAAGGGGAGGTGGGCTTGTGCGTGGGCAGCTGTTCCCGGCCCGTGTTTCTCCTGATACTCGTCCCCTTGTGTTAATTTCTTATTTTTATCCTCCCCCGTCCAAAAAAAAAGTCATGCTGTACAATCTCTAAAGCAGTGTTTCTCAACCTTGGCAGCTTGAAGATGTGTGGACTTCAACTCCCAGAATTCCCCAGCCAGCATAGCTGGCTGGGGAATTCTGGGAGTTGAAGTCCACACATCTTCAAGCTGCCAAGCTTGAGAAACACTGCTCTAAAGAAAGACACCGAAACAATTGCAGCTAGAACATCATCAGCCGCAAATGCGCAATGAAACGGAAGTCACTGAAGCGCTCGTGTCCCTCTCTGAAAATAAGGGAACGTTTTGATTTGATTTGATTTTTTATTCCACCATGCAGTAATCTGAATGGGTTTTAGTCATGCTCAGAGGAGACTTCTTAAAAGCAATGAGTCTATTCTGTCTGGATTCATTCTAATGCAAACTATCTTACTGTTTCTAATACTTAATTTTATAAGCTTTTAATTTTTATTAAATAGGTTAAATTTGATTAAAAATCCAAAACAGTTGGGCAAGAAATATAATAATAATAACAACAACAACAACACCCCGGACTTAACAATTGTCGGTAAGAAAGACAAAAAAGTCTGGATAGTGGACGTGGTAGTGCTTGGAGACAGTAGAATAGACGAGAAAGAACTGGAGAAGATAACAAAATATAAAGACCTACAAATAGAAATAGAAAGACTGTGGCAAAAGCAAGCAAGGGTAGTACCAATAGTAATAGGCGCCTTGGGTGCAATCCCAAAGCAACTTGAGCACCACTTGAACACCATTGGCATTGACAAATTCGCCATTAGTCAATTGCAAAAGGCGGCCTTACTAGGAACCGCTTCCATCCTGCAACGATATCTGTAATACCATCAAACATCCACATCTGCCTATCCCAGGTCCTTGATAGGTAGACAAAATGCCAAATCCAGTCTGAACATCTGGCTGACTGTGCAATGATCAACAACAACAACAACAACAACAACAATAATAATAATAATAATAATAATAATAATAATAATAATAATAATAATAATAAAGTTGGAAGGAGCCTTGGAGGTCATCTAGTCCAATCCCCTGGTCAGGCAGGAAACCCTATACCATTTCAGACAAATGGCTGTCCAGTCTCCATAGATGGCTGTCCATAGAAGCAGATGAAACATAAGAGAAGAATGGACAGAGTTATAACTTTTTGGCATTATTTGTTTGAGCATGTGCATGCGCTGTTGGTGTTTGACTGGAAGTTTTAAATGGCAAATGCTCAATGAGACAGAGGTCATTGAGGTACTCATGTCCCTCTGTGAAAATAAGGGAACATTTTGATTTGATTTGATATTTGATGGACTCTATTTAAGACTACGATTAAATTAGGAAATTGCAGTGAATATAAAGACAATGATCTGGATAGTGCAAAATGATCTGGAGCTTTGTATGGTGAAAAACAAGCATCTGAGACCTAGATGCTTTGAGGTGAGCTCCAATTGTCAAATTATAGATTGACTGTGCTGCTATAACAATTATAGTGCTGACATCCTGGAAATCTAGATCATTTGTATTTTCATTCAAAGCACTTCTCTATGGCCTTTCTCTCTCCAATTACAGTACTTAAAGCAATTTTCGTATGTTTAAAACCAAGAAAAACAAAATATATGTAACATAATATTGGTAACAAAAACATTGCCAAGAAAACTTGAACTTGTCAACATGATTCAACAGAAGAAAAAACAACTCTGCTTTTTGTTGTTGTTTTTAATCCTGAGTTTTAATAATTATATGGTGAAAGTTGTTTCAATGTCCATTTTAAATTTGTTTGATAACTGATATGTTAAATTTTGACAATGTGTTGGCAGTTTAATACTCTGAAGTACAATAAAAAATCTATTTAGTAATATTCTCCATCAAACATGTTTGTCTAAAGAGCTCTTGTTATGCTGTTAATAAACAAGAAAAAAAACAACTATCTCCCTTTCCTTACAGGAAATCTATTATAATTTCTGAATGCTAACTGTTCTTTTCTATTTTGCTCCTGCATTGTATATTTTTTAAAATATTAATATAAATATTTTTATACTAAGTATAGCTACATAATTACACACATATGTATTTACTTCAAAAAGAGTGGACAACTGTTTCTAAGAGAAAGGCCAGGTTCCTACTCCGTTCATGTCCTAGGTGACAGCCCTTTTCAATTGCTTCATATTATTTTCAGTGGAACAAAATGTTTAATAGTATACTAAAGGTTATATTTCTGGACCATATGGCAATAGGATGAAATTTGTTGGAAAAGAGAACTAGTTCTGATTATCAGTCTTCTATTTATTATAAGATTTTGTAACTAAGACATGTTACACAATTCCCTTCCCCTTAACCTGGTGAAAGTTAAATATTGAGTTCCCATAATAGCAGCAGAAACATGATCTGATTCATTAGAAGAACTCAGCTATTCTGCTATAAATGACATCATGATAAAGGACTGTCCATTCTTAGGGCTTAGCTGATGCAGGCATATTTTGACCTTCCAGAACAAATCCTTTTCATTAAAGCAGAACTGAATTTACAAACTGGCCATCATGCAAAAGACACACATTAAATAAACTGAAATACAAACATGCAATGAAGTTATGCAAAACAAGTATGTTTAAATTCTATACTTCAGAGATTTAATTGTGATTGATACGTTTATTCTACTGTGTTAGTTTTAGGCATGCCATGTCTGGGCTACAAAACACTGAAGGACTATTGCAAGGCAGCAAAGAGCCTCTTTCTGGCCACCTGATGGTCATCTGGAATTTTGCAGCTCAGATTTTTATCTATATATTGGTTTACTGTGATTTTTTATTCCACTATGCAGTGATCTGATTGGGTTTTAGTCATGCTCAGAGCAGACTTCTTAAAAGCAATTAGTCTATTCTATCTGAATACACACTATTGCAAACTAACTTACTGTTTTTAATACTTAATTTTATAAGCTTTTATTTTTTATTAGATAGGTTAAATTTGATTAAAAATCCAAAACAGCTGGGCAAGAAACAGAAGCAGATGAAACATAAGAATGGACAGAGTTATACTTTTTTGCATTATTTGTTTGAGCATGTGTGTGCACTGTTGGTGTTTGATTGGAAGTGTTTAAATGGCCAAGAAAGTTCTTTCATTATCGCTGAGATACAAGGATTGTTCCTTAGCATCTATCATATATGGGTAGTATTCTGAAATTCCCAGCTCATACAAAATGTCCACTTCAGGGAGATTCTGGGGCCAAAGTAGGCTATCAGATATTGGCTGCAAAATCTAGAGGTCCATAAATGGCAGCAAACGGTGAAGAGTTTTCTGTATTTCATTTCTGCCATCTAGCAATCATCCAGATTTCTGGAACCCAGATCTCATACCTCTGTCTGAAGTGGTCAGGCTGCTGGGCCTCTGCATGCAACTTGTGGGTTGCCCATCCCTTGCCAAGCTTTTCATAGTAACCCTGAGAAATAGTGATGTAATTTAAAAAAAAGAAATGAAATTTAATATTATTGAGATATCAGTTCAGTTCAACAATCTTGATTTATGGTTTTTGGATTCACTGATCATGCTAAACCAATTTTAAATTAGCCAGAATGGCTGAAATTTTTGACCCTAAGTCAAAAACACAGTTTCAAAACCCCAATGGATTTCCTCATATGCTAAGCTAAAAACAAGCCCGTTAAGGCATAGGATGGTTATTTATTTTTCTTCATGTAAGAATTATAAGCCACCGAGGAGTACACATACTTAATAAGTCCTGTCGACTCAGTACACACTTTAGTAAGTCCTACCGAGTCGGGACCCTCTCTATTGTTACTAGAGAATAATATTCCTATGACCATTAGGAGTTAAATCTTGACCAACGAATCGACTCCCTCACAAATCTATAGGTCAAGACAAATTTTTTATTCACTATTAATTACTTTCCATATACTATGTGAGGGCACAGTGGTCTAGCGGTTAAAACACTAGGCTTGTTGACCAAAAGGTAGGCAGTTTGAGACCCAAGCACTGCACGATAGGGTGAGTTCCCGTTCCTGTCCCAGCTCCTGTCAACCTAACTGTTCAAAAGCATGCAAATGCATGCAGCTAAATAGGTACCACTTCAGTGGGAAGGTAACAGTGTTCCATGTGGCTCGATATATATTCATGCTGGCCACATGACCATGGAAGTGTCTTTGGACAATGCTGGCTCCCTCAGCTGACTCCCTCAGCTAAGAAACTAAGATGAGCACTGTCCCTTAGACTCGGGCATGACTGGACAGGGGAAACCTTTTACCTTTTACTTACTAATATGTGGTTACTCACTATATAGTCTCTATTTCATTACAAGTCACTGTTTCATCAATGGTCACACACTTGAACATCGCCTGAAGGTAAGCGGTGTGCAGCAGATCCTGGGGAACACATACATGATTGGATTGGATTTTTAAAATAAATGAATATGTAAAGAATTGTTTGTCTTTTGTTTGAGGACTGGAGATGGTGACATACCAAACATTTTCCAAATGTTTGACATGCCATATTCACCGTCCCTGGTTTAAAGCCTACAAAACAGCTCTTAGTCTGTGTTCTATCCCAGCCTATTGCCGTCCTTGTTAGAGGCACAAGGACCAAACCCCTGCTGATACAATAGGCTGGAAACTTTAATACAAAACAAAATCCCTTTTATTTGGGTGACAAACCTGTCAATAAGTCCAAAACACAAACAGCAAAACTCAAGTCCAAAGGAAGGAAATAGTCCACAGGAACACGTTGCAAACAA